GTTGGTAGGATTGCCGTAGTGAATTCCTGGCGTTGGGAGGGAGGATCTAGTAGTGAATTCCTGGCGTTGGGAGGGAGGATCTCTGTAGTGAATTCCTGGCGTTGGTAAGATGCCTAGTGAATTCCTGGCGAGTGAAGGAGGGTGTTGGGGGGAGGCCTGTTTGGGAGGATTTCGTAGTGAATTCCTGGCGTTGGAGGGAGGATAGTAGTGAATTCCTGGCGTTGGGAGGGAGGATCCTGTAGTGAATTCCTGGCGTTGGTAGGGAGGATTTACGTAGTGAATTCCTGGCGTGGGAGGGAGGATTTCCGTAGCGAATTCCAGGCGCTGGGAGGGAGGGTTTCCGTAGTGAATTCCTGGCGTTGGGACGGGAGGAGGATCTCTGTAGCGGAATTCTGGCCGTTGGTGGGGAGGAGTTTCTGCCAGTGGATTCTTGGTGTTTGACTAAGTTTTCTGGACCGTAAGCTTTGATGAAGGCATTCCTGCACCCGTTGTGAGAAAAGCTGTGACCAGTGTGATTCATATCGAAACCTACTTTAATTGTAGTGTCTCGAACTGATAGTTGCCAGAATTGGGCGGGAGGATTTCCGTAGTAGATTCTTGGTGTTGGGGGGAGGACCTCCGTAGTGGATCTTGGGCGTTCAGCGGGAGGATTTCCGTAGTGGATTCTGGGGTTGGCAGGAGGATTTCCGTAGTGGATTCTTGGTGTTGGGGAGAGGATCTCCGTAGCGGATTGCTGGCGTTGGAGAGAGGCGAACACGCTGGCAGATTGAAGCCGCGCCGAGAGAGGTTTGAGGACTAAGATTCAAAGTTTGAATAAGCGCTTAGCGCCAAGGGTTACAAAAGGGTGCTAAAAGTCAGCCACTTACAAATTTCAAGTTGCATTCAATTCGTGTGGTCGTCTTCCTCTCTACCGCTCACCCACACTGCTCACTCAGTGCTTCCTATCCTCGTTTTTGCCGGGTCACAGCTTGACATGCCTCCTCGTCGCACACGTGCTCAAAATGCTACCACCCATCCGGGTCAGATCGTTCTAGACGCACAACCGAAACGACGCACGAAAGCACAAAAACAGGCAGATGATGCCCGCTTGAAAGCGGCCGAGGCGGAAAAGGAAGCAGATGCCCTAGCAGGGCTTACCAGGCTGGCAGAACTGCAAGTCCAGATGGAAGGTACCCAGGCCCAAGCCCAGGCTAACAAGCCCAAGGCAGTTAAACCGCGACCGGTACCAAAGGGGTCGCAGGGCAGCTACTGATCAATCAGCCGAACCTTTTTCCATGGCAGGTCGTCATTATGCTCAGGATACAGACGCATCAGGTCCTGGTGAGGTGTTGAGCTTGAAGGATCAGATTTTTGAGGAAGACGCATTGCTGGATGGCGATGATCTTGAGGTCCCAAATAGTACGAAGCAGAAGTCCAAGAAACGCTCTCTGAAGGTGGCTATCTCAAATGTTCGGGAAAATATTGATGCAGACGATAACAACCTGATCGATAACGATGCATGTGCAAACAACGAGAAAGGCAACTCCTTACGGTGCGTGTTTGCCTTGCACTATCATGTTGATGCTTACTGAATCTACGCTATATTTTCTGAATTTCTGGGCGTCCAGAACAGAACCTGGTCTAGGTCCGACTCTAGGTGGTCGTATCCTAAACTGGAGGTCACAAGTCGGGCCCCAGAAATCTGGTGCAAGTTCCCAGCATGAGTCACTTACAACCGCCACTCAACCACCGCCTTCTATTTTTTCAAAATCTGAGCTGTCGAAGAGGACCTCAGTCAGTTCCTACAGTCATGCACCTCCCCCTCCTACCAGCAAAGCGGATGATCCTGAATGCCTCGTTGGAGCATTTGGAGATGAAGATTTAGATGAGTCTTATGAACGGGAGGCGGCGGCGTCAATGACAAAGAGTCAGGGTAAACGGCCGGCGGTGAGTGTATTTTCACTATGATTTTCAAGTTTGCGCTACTGACTTAAGCTTGGATCTACTAGTCTACCGTCAGTATCTCGTCTGGTGCAGATCTTGACCTCGTACCACCACCGAGCACTCAACCCGGTCTGAAGAGGGATCGCAACTTGATGCCACCACCCAGTACTCAACCTGGCCTGAAGAATGGCCGTCACTTGATGCCACCACCTTCCACACAACCTCGAGTTGTATCTGGCACGAAGAGGAAGCAGCTGGATGAGTTGGAGTTCTCCGACAGTGAGATTTCAGAGTTTCTAACGGATGATGACGTTATGGAGGTCGACGGCCCGGACGATGAATTGGACGTAGATATCAAGCCAGAGCCAGGTTTGAACGGTAAGGCTGCACGCACTACAGCCTCGGTATATCCCTCACTTCATTTCATTTTGCTACCACTGACTTCAGTATCAGACTTCTGTGACCACCACTGCTCGCGAGGCTCCAGCTCCTCCATCGAAGAAGGCAAAACATGAGAAGAACATCAAACTCGAGGGGAATATCAAATCCGAAGGGGCATCTACTGTGCCACCTGGCACCTGGGTAGAGCCGGTGTTGAAGGCACGTTCGTCTTATTTGAACACGGACCTCCCACCAGGCTGTCATGAGGACGGAAAATGGGCTCGAGTATTCATACCAACGATCTTGCTGTGGCTTGGCGCACAAGAGGAACTCTGGACTATTGCTGACATTAAGCTGCTTGATGCATGCAAAGAAATTTTCAAGGTCGTCTACGGGGATATTTGCTACAATCTTACCATATCTGGGTCCGTTTTTGGTGTTGTCAGTGTCGTCGTTTTATTTGGGAGAAGCTACTAATATGTTGTAGGTCACACAACGTGTTGGCGAATGGCGTAGCAACTTCGGGTCTACAGCACTTGCCCTCGCGGTTCATTTCTGTGTCGTCAATCAAGATTCAGCACCAAGGGAACTTTCGACTCTCCTCCTGCACAAATATGCATTTTTATACCCTAACCCTGAAAAGATTGACAAGGATGAGACTTTCCGTTCTCCGTTTGTCCAAGAGCTTCTTGCTACTGCGCATCTCGCTAAAATCTTGGGACACGCTGACGTTCCTGTTCTCCGCACTGACAGCTTGGTTAAAAATGGTTTCATTGGGGCCCTGGGCTTGTGTGCAGTCTCGGTCAGTCAATCTTGTATTGATGGTTGCTTATTAATTTTATGCCCGCAGCTCGAACGTGCTTTCACTCTTCTCGCTGATAGCACTGTCACTCTTGACAGCGAGGAGAACTCGGAGCTGCCGATCAATGTGCGGAAAGCTCGCCTCAAGACGCCCAAGACCTTCAACAAAGCTACTGGAAAGGAGACGACTTCCGAACACGCATTCTCAGTTGCTAAATGGAGCTCCAAGACTGCTGCATTTGTATGCGGGGCGAAAAAGAAGGGCACGGCGGCAACAGAGCTCACTGTCTCGATGGCGTGGAAGGTTCTGAAAAAGCCTGGTTTCGAGAAATACACTGGCAATGACATGTCCGACGAGGATGACGATCGCGCAGACATTTGGTAAGTTGCAGCTCTCACAATCCCCGGGTTTTAATAATGTTTGCACTACTACCTGCAGATATGCGAGCCTCACGCCTCTGGTCGATGTCTTCTCGTTAGGACATTTGGATATATTATTTCGTGCTTTGCGCTTGCAATTTTCACCGTTTGGAACCGCTCATTCGTTTTGCTCTTCCTCACTCGTCTTTTAACGTGTTTTAACGTGTTTCCATGCCTGCGTCACTCGTTTTGCTCTTTTTCACTGGTCTTTTATCATATTTCCATGCCTTCGTCACTCTTTCAGCTGCTCTTGATTGTCTCCTAATGCTTCTTAGATCCCCTTTAATGTTGTTCATGATTCTGTGCCTATCACCCATTTTCCGCTTATGTTCCCTTTTGCACCCTTTTTGGTGGTTTTATCACGCATTTTACAGTGACTTGCAATGGACTTGTGTCGAGTTTTTGAGCCTTACATCATACATAATAAGTGGATTCAAGTGTGATTAAGCCGCTACAAGAAGACGCATGGCCTTGGCGCGTCTTGTGGTGCCCTCGCTCTTTTTTTCACTTGAGACCATTGAAAAAGCCAAAAAAGGCGTGTGAAGAGATCCGGGATTTTGCTCAATGCTGATGCAACAACTTTATAACTCCACAGCTTCGCTGCACATTAATGCAGACTGTATCTGATTCATTGACAGATTGATATCGGGCGCACTAGATAGGACAGGTGTTCGTACTGTGGTGTCTTTGCACATCATGTGTGTATCCCCCTGGCATATTATGCAAAATGTTGACAGTCAGTACTCAATGCATAATACATAACCAGAACCTTCCAAGTCGCTTTGTCTGATCCCCGCGCGTTTCCCAAAGTCTTGGTGTATCTTACTCATTACCCATTCAATTGAATGGAAGACAAATATTAAGGCTTAAAGTTCCAAGTCACTATTCGGATCCCCGTGCGTTTGTCGTAAATTCTTGAACTATTAGGTTTATGACTAGTTTGCATTACCAGGAAGATTCAATGGCTGCCCCTAACGCTACTTATGGACGATCGATTGTACTCTCAGATCAGAAATGTGGTGCTGTGCGACAAGTCTCAGGTGTTCATGTCTTTCGAGCCAGCTTGCCATCAGTTGACGGCGACTCGGCAGGTGATGTTGCTGTGATTAGTATGAATCAAGGGTATAAAGGTAGGGCAGTCAGAATCACTCACCTCAGATCATCCTATCGCACCAAATCACAAATTTTTACCATCTCTGCATTATCCACTACTATGGTGTTTCCTCCAGACAACCAGGTCTATTTCATCGTCGAAGAATCGAACCCAAATCTTTGTGTTAGCGTGCCACTCACCGGAAATCAGAGCCGGGCTAGTCTTCAGCCCATAGACGAGGCCGGATTCATCCAGAAGGTAAGATGAAGGAATCTAGGACCCTCCTGCCATCACTGAGTGCTTACGCCAACTGTAGTGGCACCTGCAGTATGCTGGAAAACCTGTTGTCAGGGCCCGCCCCCTGCCGGATGAGCAGGCCTGCATTCTCACCGAGGCCACGCAGCGTACACTCAAATTGGGTCTAAAATCTGTCCGGGATGTGAGTGTCCACTGTACGATTGAACCTACTACTGCTTAGGCACCATCTGTAGAACGAGCCCGTCCGCGACCAGAGGCACGCGCAGTGCTGGATTCTCAGTGGGAACGCCGATGGTTACACGTGAGCAACGATTATCATGTCATTTTTTTGACCTTTGGTACTCAATCTCAAGGGTCGCAGTATCTTCCAAATCTGTAATCCACACTCATCTTCTAACGGAGGCAACGAAGCTCATGGTTACCATGCATTCAATTGGAAAAATGTCAAGGGCAACGTGGTGGGTGTGTTCCCTTTGTCCATACAATGTCTCTACTTAATCCAGCACAGAACGTCCAACGCAGGGATGCTGATAACGCCGACACAAACGCCACCATCTGGACATTCCTGCCAGTGTAAATGGATGCAGCAGTTGCGTGATATGCTACTCGTGTAGTTTCGGAGGTCAGGTAGTTGTTGTACGATCAGTTTGCGCAAATGCTAGGGTGTCAAGCGGTGCCGATTTTTTGAACTTCACTCGTTTCTCAAATTCTGATTGACAAAAGACTGCACGGCCACTAGGAACAACATGCAACACATAAGCATGCGGGGCTCCAACCTCGAACACCCTCTCTGGAATTTGACCTACACGTGTTCAATCCTTGATTAGAACGGCTCTTTTTTCAGCCTGTTCGTACCCTCCTAGCCCGCCAGCCCCGCGTACAACCCGCTTGCGAGTCTCTTGTTATCAAAAGAGAAGCACGCCGAGAACAACCTAGTGTGTATGCTTCACCAGCGGTTTGAATAACTCTGCCTGCTCTCAACGTCCCAGACGACGACGACGAAACCATTTGCACTGTTCGTAATTGGTCTGTCATCCGGCGATATGGGGAATGATTTGACCCCGCCCCGGTTTTCGAAACGGCCCTCTCGTTAATACTGACGGAGTTGTCTGTATATCCCAACTTCGCAAGGTGCAGTCCCACGAACCAGTGACGACCCGTCGATTGTCTTTGAAGAACGCAGCTGCCAGCACCGACTGAGTGAAGGAATGTGTTCAGTCATTCATATACATGTTTCAGCTAAGAGTGATATTTGTTTTACCTCTGTCGCTTGGTGCCATCTCTAACGCACGTACCACGAAAGTTGTCATAAGTATAATGAACCGAGCTGATGCATCACTGTGGTTACGCGCAATGATGTATTGCTTTCGCTACACTAAAAGCACATGCAGCATAAACCAGGTGTCGCAAAGCGTCCATACTGCAAACCCACCAGAAAGAGATTCTGTTTGATGACCAGAGCAAAAGAAATAAAACGGGTGGCGGTGGTGCTTACTGAGAAAACACCGTCTCAGTTTGGTCCGACCAGCTGTCTAAGAGCGAAGACTACTTTCATGAAAAAATTGGCAGTGGCTACGACCGAAGGACGGAGTTTCTTTGATTTAGTTACTTCACGTAGTAGTAGTACTAGTAGTATGTCAGCGATATTAGTATGCTTAAAATGTGCTTGCGCGTGTTTGATCCTTTCGGGCGTGTATGCGTGTATGGCAGAGAGCGGAAAAACAGGAGAGAAAAGAGAGAAACAAGGCTGAGTGGTGAACGAAGTCGCATGTCATTGTCAGACAGGCCTTCCGTAAGTGGGCAAGGGCTAGGAAACAGACCTTGAGGGACTGTCCCGAGACCGGGCGGGGTGTGCCGAGGAGAAGGAGCTGACTGTGGACCACACTTGGTAAGTCGACACTAACAAAAGTTGTGGATTCATATTCAATGGTGACTGTACATGTGTCGTTTCGCCTACTTATGTAAAGAGATCGCATGTTGTTGGTCAAAACCTTACTCAGATTCATTTCTTTAACGGCGACAAGCTTCAATTCACCTATTAACTTGCTTAACTGCCCGCCTAAACTTGATCGCAATGTCCGCATCCGAACTTCTACCTCAATCGATGCAAAATTTGAGGGTGAGTCGGCTCTTTCCTGAGTCTTGACCGTGTTAGCTAAGTTAGTTGACATGATTTCAGGTTACTGAAGTGAAGTCAAACGTGGAGGCCCTCAAGCCAATCAGATACACGACTTCTTCTCCCGATGAGCTCAAGTTCTCTTATCTGCCTAGAACCAGTCACAAGCAATTCTACGGTTTCTGGCTCGACCATTCGTGGCTCAGGGAGCTCGGAAAGAACGTCCACGTACTTGAGGATCAAGTCCGTCCTCCTAGAGAACAGGATTTTTGGTTGAGAGGATTCGAGCATATCTGCTGGGCCGTCAACATTGATCCTTTGACCATCGAGATGTGCTTGCAGCCCAAAAATCCAGATGATCGCGCGCCTGCAGAGCATGTAGATGCCGACGGAGTCGTGTTTGTCTTGTCTTTGTTCTCTGATGACCATGCGGACGAACCTGTCATCGCTTTCCAGGAGCAGGTGGATTATTTGTCGAAAGTTCTTGGTGGTAGAAAGCCACAGTGGTGGCTCAGTATCTGGCGTAAAGATTGGGAGTGAGCATAGATATATTTCGATCTCGAGCCCCCAGTGCCCACTATTGAGAAAATCTGTAATAATTACTCCCACGGTTACCGTGACCGCGGTTCAATTGTTTACAGCAGTTTGCATAATAGTACGTTTGGCGGTAATTTCCAAAAAAAGAATGCATTCATTTTTAAAAAGGTAGCGCTACGTAGATCGATTTTTATCTCAAGAACGAAGCAAGCTATTGACATGGTGCAAGCAACAAACCTGATCAGAAAAATATGGCGCAGACGACCAGCGAAAAAACTAAGCGATTCGGCGAAGTTGGTGGTCACCTGCCCTCAGAGCCAGTAGAACTATAAAGATTGATTTTTATTTCAGTAACGAAGTAAGATATTGACAAGCGGTAAGACACTTACTTGGTCAGAAAACTCGGGCGCAGATAACTGCGAAAAGAATGGAGTGATTTGGTGAAGTAGACACTTGCCTCGTGTCTACTTCAAGTCGCTAGCATAAAAACCAAATTCACACACACTCATTTTTCCCGGTCTGCTACATTCCGTCGTAGGACTCGGATGGCAAAGGCCTCTGCCCAAGTGCGCAATGACAAGGCAAAGGCACCCCGCAAACGTGGCCGCCCTCCAAAAAAAACGATTACAGCCACCCAGTAGCACACAGGATCCTCCAAGTCCAGAAATTGTCCCAAAGGCTAGGCCACGGCCACGGGCCATTCCACCGAAAAAGCCTGGCATTTCGTCAGCGACGACACCAGGTGGATCCAGCTCCGCACCAGAGGTTGGAGCAGCTGTAGCTGCTGCAGCGCCGTCGTCGAGGCCTTCTGACTTTGTATCACAGCTGCGGGACAAACAGCCATGCATGTACTTTTGCAATGTCAGAATGTGTGCAGAAAGAGATTGGATAATTCACGACGCACCTCGATATCTTCCAAGTCCATCATTCGAGCTCTACCTCTATGATTACCACTCTGGCTTTCTTTATACGGCTTTCCAGTCAATCTATAGCATCGTGCAATTTGTTGGATGGCCGTTTTGCTTGCTCCAGTGTATGCCATGATTTCGGATGTGTCGAGGAGTGGTAGCATTCGGACGATAATTTCGCATACATCTTGCGAGAATGTTCGACCTTTCATAGTGGGGTAAGGGGAGTGACAGCACCGCAGCGGCAGTACACAAGTGGACAATATACTCAACTTCGCCGAATCGCTTAGTTTTTTCGCTGGTCGTCTGTGCCATATTTTTCTGATCAGGTTTGTTGCTTGCACCATGTCAATAGCTTGCTTCGTTCTTGAGATAAAAATCAATCTACGCAGCGCTACCTTTTTGAAAATGAATGCATTCTTTTTTTGGAAATTACCGCCAAACGTACTATTAGGCAAACTGCTGTAAATTTTTACAGCTATTTGCATAATACTACGGCCGGCGGTAATTTCCAAAAAAAGAATGCATTCATTTTTGAAAAAGTAGTGCTACAAAGATTGATTTTTATCTCAACAACGAAGCAAGCTATTGACATGGTCCAAGCAACAAAACTGATCAGAAAAATCTGGCGCAGACGACCAGCGAAAAAACTAAGCGATTCGGCGAAGTTGGTGATCACCTGCCCTCTGAGCCAGTAGAACTCAAGTAGAACTACAAAGATTGATTTTTATTTCAGTAACAAAGCAAGATATTGAGAAGTGGTAAGACACAAACTTGATCAGAAAACTCAGGCGCAGGCGACTGCAGAAAGGATGGAGTGATTTGGTGAAGTGGACACTTGCCTCATGTCTACTTCAGATGGCTGTTTTGCTTGCTCCAGTGTATGCCATGATTTCTGATGTGTTAAGGAGTGGTAGCATTCAGGCGATAATATTGCATACATCTTGTGAAAATGTTCAATTCTTCGTGGGGTAAGCTGGAGATGAGTGTTTGACGTTGATATCTGAGTCGTAAAAAGTGGCAGTGGCTGTACACAAATGGACAATATACCCAACTTCGCCGAATCGCTTAGTTTTTTCGCTGGTCATCTGCGCCAGATTTTTCTGATCAGTTTTGTTGCTTGGACCATGTCAATAGCTTGCTTCGTTGTTGAGATAAAAATCAATCTTTGTAGCACTACTTTTTCAAAAATGAATGCATTCTTTTTTTGGAAATTACCGCCGGCCGTAGTATTATGCAAATAGCTGTAAACTTTACGTGCGTTCAAACTTGCACAGGTGCACGTGTTGCGTCACGTGCATCCGACCAATTTTAACACAGTAGGCTACTTCAAGTTAGTACTACTAAGTCGGTCTTCCTTCAAGCTTCAAGCTTCAAGTCTGGCTCGACAAATTATGACCTATTGACTGTGGATTTTTTGCACCTCAACGCAATTGGGCATGGTTCGGTTCAAGGTAAGACTCGTTCTCAATGTCTTGTAGCGTGCTCACCTGAGTGATCAAACAAGAATCGCTGGCTCCTTGTCGAATTTGTAGAAACGTCTACAGCGGATACTTCCGCTGACAAAGAGCCTCTAAGTACGCGATCTCTGGACGGGAGGTTGATCTACAATGCTCTCCGCGACAGTGTCGTGACAAACTTTGGCGACACTGGATGGGGAACGGTGGGGATGTCGTTGACCGGTGCGTAGATTCTTCATAATCCTTTAGCTTTGCATCTCAAGTGGCTGTAGTGAAATACTTTTCTCCGACCACGAACCTTTGTATCATTCGCGTCGCACGAGATCATCATCGAATCGCATGGGGTGCAGTCACACTTCTTACTGGCATCCACGACATCAGAATTATTCCGCGTGTTATTCATGTCTCAGGTAGGCTTGTACTTAATCGGTCTCCACCGTCCTTTAATAAAAGTGCTGGTATTGTAACAACATATAGGTACTATCAAACACGCGCAGCTCTCGGCGATCGCACACAACCGAGAAGTTATCGCGCGATTTCGCACTAAAGCTAAAAATGCTGGTGAGTGTGGTGGATGCAGTCTAACACATGGGCGGCTTGCTCAATTTCTGTATTTTGATGCGCAGCACTCTATCAAGACTCGTATGATGACTATCTCGCGCGAAGTACTCGTGAGATCGAGGCTTTGCAGGATTGAATCAGTCCAAAGGTACCCCTTGTGACTCCGAGGAGCTGAAAAGTTCCTTCAATTTTGGTGGCAAGCTTCGAACTCGCATTCTGTGATTGTTGGTCACGACCCCCCTTTCCTGCCCGAAACTTGGCTAGCGGTAGGAGTCAGCATGATATACTCGCGGCCGTTCGCAGCGACTCTCGCTCAAGAATGCACGCGTATGATTTGCGTAGGAAGAACAAGTGAAGAGACGAAGGAGTAGGACAGGAATTTTGATGCGGTGTGTATAGCTACATTTCTAGTCGACCAAGAATAAATTATACCTCCAAAAACATTATTACAACTTCGACTCCATCCACACTCCTACACCCTCCCCTTCGGCCACACTCAGCCACTGTCTTGCTACTTCTTTTTCTCTTGCGAGCCATGCCTGCACCCAATCAACAATACCGTCTACCAATTTCTTTACATCGTCACGAGTGTGTCCTGCGTGCAAGCATACTCTTACTCGGGACGTTCCTACAGGAACTGTGGGCCATGTTATTGCTTTGGTAAACAATGGTCGTGGAAGGGAGGCGAGATGTGCTGCAAGGGAATGTGGATGAGGCGTGAGGAGAGGTATGATAGGTGTCGGGGGAGGAAAGGATGGATCGGAGGCAGTATTTGTGGGATCGTTAGGGCCATCCGCACTTAGGTGATCAGGCAAGCAGAGCAGTTTGGGCGGAGCTGATTGTAGGTGTGGTCGCAGAAGTTCCAAGAAGTACCTTGATAGATCTAAGAGATGTAGCGCGAGCTGAGTCTATGTTAAACACAGGTCGTCGATTTCTTTTTGGACACAGAGCTTACCACTTCGGCACTTCCATTCTCCAGCATATCAAAAGCACACTCGACGGCGATTATATTTGCATATGTGAGCGTCGTGGTGTATATTAGTGGACGGGCATAATTCAAGAGGTAATCCCGTATGAGTTCTGTGGTTAGTATCGCAGCTACATCGATGCTCAGAATATCGTTCAGCAATTCAGGTGACAAAAACCTCGCACCTCCCGATCCCCCAAGTGCCTTCCCGAATGTATGCAATCGTGCCAGGACGCGTCCCTCGAGTCCTAGCGCAGCAACCATCCCTCGACCTTGCGGGCCATATATACCCGTTGCATGTGCCTCGTCCACTATCACATATCCATTCCTCCTTGGCAGCATTTCTTCGACACAGTGCACGATTTCGTGCAAGGGGGCGAACGTTCCGTCCATGCTATAAAGGCTTTCCACTGCAACGAACGCGCTTGCTCTCCCCTCCCGTAGATCATCTCGCTCGTGAAGCAAATTTCGCAATGATCGCTTGAGCGCAGCAACTGAATTGTGTGGAAATTTGATGAGGCTGGATGAATCTACCCGCGAAGCACCCATCCCATCATGCACAGACGCGTGGATATGCTCGTCGTATAGCACTACATCGCCAGGCTGAGGAATGGTGGAGAAGAATGCAACGTTTGCGTCAAACCCCGAGTTGAATAACAACACCTTCTCAGCGCCGAAGAAATTTTCCAGTCGACTTTCAAGGGCAACATGAGCAGGCGCTGGCACAAGTAATCGAGAACCACCCGATCCAAGTATTTGAGGGGCAGAAGAAAGAGCAGATTGGAATGCTGCGCGGAGGGTAGATGATGTAGCCAAAGATAGATAGTCGTTCGATGTAAAATCCGCAGATGGGAGCACTGCAGAGGTCGAAACAGGGAGACGTCGGCGAATATGTCGCTTTTCTCGGGATAAAAGAGCAGCGGAGAGTTTATCGTTTAAAGACGACATTATTGTGCGACGATTGGAAGTTATAAACAAAGTGCATGGGGCGATTAAGCTTCCAGCGTGATATTCAAGTTGACGTGCTCCCACAAACGCCGCATACGCGCATGCAAGCGCCGCAATCTTATCCCATAGCACTTTTCATGCACAACCATGATCATTTCATCATTGGCGGCACATATATGGAGCACACCCGTGCTGCAGTCAATTTAGCAGCAGCTCGAAGGTCCATTAACAGTGGATATCGGAGCACCGTAACGGGGAAAGGTAGCCCTTCTTCCCATGAGAACTGTCATTTCTTGTTCATGTGCCCGTTATCTAGCGTGATCACTCTAGGCCAAGGCTATAAGTAGCTTTCAACTTTGCGCAGACTATGATCAGGTTGGCCGTTATCGTTTGCACTTCCTCATACCTCCCTCATAATGCCGTCCACATTCACCAAGACTTTTGATACCCCTACGTTCAAGGGGACTGTTACGATCCCTCTGGGTCTCTACATAAATGGAGAGTTTGTTGACCCTGTTGAGGGTGGCACAATCGAGTGAGTGTCTTCCTTGTACACTTGAACGTCGGTCTCATTCGTGCTCAGTGTTGTCAATCCCGGTACGAATTCTTTGGTCGCAAATGATTCATAACTTATTCTTGCAGCGACGGGCAAGGTGGTTACTGCTATCGCAGCCGGGACGAAAGTCGATATAGACATTGCTGCGAAAGCAGCCAAGAAAGCCTACAAGACTTCATGGGGCCTTAAAGTTCCTGGAGCTCAGCGTGGCAAGCTCATGTTGAAGCTCGCAGATTTGATGGAGGAACATATTGCGGAGTTCGCTGCTCTCGATGCTCTTGCTAATGGTGCGTAGCCTTGTGTCATTACCGATCTCGAGTTAACTGAGAAGCTCATGGCTTGCAGGGAAGGCTTACAATACTGCGTACGGTCGAGACAACAAAGGAGCGATTGCCGTCATGCAATACTATGCTGGCTGGGCTGACAAAATAAACGGGAAGACTATCGAGGTTTGGGTTTCCTCTCTTTCACACCAGTCAAACTCATCCCACCCCAGACCAACGAAAACAAACTAGCTTATACCAGACATGAACCCATCGGGGTTGTGGTAAGGATTCTTCTCTGACTGCTGTCCAAACGAGATCTCACTTTATGTACAGGGTCAAATTATTCCATGGAATGTTCCGAGTGAGTGCATTCGACGAGCGCGTGGGGCCTATAGCTCATATTTGCCAGTGTTCTCTCTTTCTCTCAAGATTGCTCCTGCACTGGCCACCGGCAATACCGTCGTCCTGAAGCCTTCTGAACTCACCCCGCTTTCTGCTCTTCTCTTCTGTACCCTGGTCAAGGATGCGGGTTTCCCTCCAGGTGTCATTAATATCGTGAACGGATATGGCCCAACGGCTGGGCAGGCAATCTCCGAGCACCCTCTTATCGAGAAAGTGGCGTTCACTGGCAGCACTCTGACGGGGCGGAAAATTATGGAGGCTGCTGCGAAGAGCAACTTGAAACCTGTCACCCTCGAGCTTGGCGGAAAGAGCCCGAATGTCATCTTCGATGACGCCGACCTGGAGCAGTCAGTCAAGTGGGCTATTCACGGTATCTAGTATGCTACCCCCTTCACATTACTGCGCTAGTGCTCATCCTGGTTATAGCTTCAACCACGGCCAGAATTGTTCTGCAGGCTCCCGTATTTTTGTTCAAGAGGGCATATACGACAAGTTCTTGGAACAGTTCACAGAGCAGGCCCGCGCGATCAAGGTCGGCGATCCTTTTTCGCCCGAGACGTACCAAGGGCCACAGGTGTCCAAGACTCAATTCGAGGTTCGTTCATCGAAATTTCTTATAAAACATACTTTGACGCCTGTAAAGCGCATCATGGGATACATCAATTCCGGCAAGAGCGATGGTGCTACAGTGCACCTTGGTGGCAAGCAGATTGGCCAGGAGGGATACTTCATCGAGCCAACAATTTTCACGGAGTGCCTGCCCGACATGAAAATCGTCAGAGAAGAGATATTTGGCCCTGTTGCTTGCGTTATGAAGTTCAAGACCGAAGATGGTGGGATGATTCTTGTTGCTTGATCGTTGTATTCACACCATTCCAGAGGTGGTTGAACAGGCTAATGATACGTCATACGGACTTGCCGCATCGGTGTTCACCAAGGATATCGATAGAGCAATCCGCGTTGCACACGCTCTCGAAGCCGGCACTGCATGGGTGCGCTGTTTCGTCGTCTCATCTTGCGCGTTTGTGATGTAACGATGCCTGACAGATAAACTGCGCCAATCAGACCGAAATATCGATGCCATTCGGAGGCTTCAAGCAATCTGGAATTGGGCGTGAACTGAGCGAGTATGCTTTGGAAAAGTAAGCTCTTGTCCTACAAAACATCGCTGCACTAACGATACCCGATTTAGCTACACGAACGTTAAAGCCGTTCATGTCAACATTGGCATTCGGTTGTGATCACTCGGGTAATACTGTTCCATCATTCATGTATTGTTAGTTCTGTGTGTTCGAATGTCATGCATCCACAACCATGTAAAACTGGAAATCTGATTTGATCTTTGACTACGATTTCTCTTTGTCTTCGACCTGGCTCTTAGTATAGCTTGACACTAGAAATGTAAGTAGGATGGGAAAAGGTGTACTCTGCTAATACGTGGGCGGTGCATTGATACAGTATGCTACTTGAGGCTACTTGTCCGTGAAGAGGGTGGTGGCCAAGTGAAATGACAAGGACAGACCATGACTGACATTAATATTATATAAGAGTTGCTCATGTACTCATATCAATTGTATGAACCAAAGAACAAATACTGCACATGTATCACTGGGTCTTACTCTTACTGCGCGTCTTTCTCGCGCCAGACAAGCCAATAAATATTTTGAACGGAGGTAGAACGCCCTTTACTCGACCTCATCGTACGATCATATTACTAGCGCTGGAGCCTACCATTGACGGGGAACAATAGCTTAGGTAAGACGGCAAACTATTAGCTGCAGCCCAGCCCAGCGTCCAGATCGACTTATGCTTGCAGCATGTTGCACGGTAAAGTTGTTTGGATCTTTAAACAATCTCCCAAACATTTGATCCCCCCACTTAGTCAACCGTATAATAAAAAGTCAGTGAGTTGATCAGTCTGAATCACATCTGGGGGCCAGGCTGGAATTGTGTGTGCATCGGAATCCTCATAATCACCTGGTGACCTTACTAATACTTGAATATGGTAAGATCATTCTGTGGGTTCCATTGCGCAGCTGCTGGAAATACATTCAAGGTATTGTCTGACATGTCGCTAGAAACTCACAGAAATTCCTTGTCCCTTGCCCTGATTCCGATTGGATACCGCTTGGGGCTGCGCAGCAACCCAGGTGTCACGACACGGCTCGACAAAACCCTTGACAACTCACCAGGTAAGGATTGGGCATCCAATAATAGGACGAGAACACTCCAATGTACGGAAAGTAGGTGTCTCTGTGCATGCAGCACGATGAGCGAGGCGCCCAAGAATCTATATATTTCAGGGTCACTACGTACCCTCACGTACCGCGCCCGTCAATCATTGATGATAATCAACGCAAGGCTCGCACCCTCCAAATCAAGCAGGACTTGGATTACATTTGGAAGATTTCCCTTCTTTCTGATTGGACGTCCTGTATTATATCCTTGACGATATGTTGATGCAGAACAGACGGGCATCTCCGATCGCAGAGAATGAAACGCCACAAGGGTGGCCGAAGATCCAGTGCCCGTCAAGGTGGTATAAATGGAATGTCATCATACCAAACTACTTTGTGGGGAAGTCTAGAAGAAGATAATTAGAGTCGAGCTCGACACAGAAAAAGACACGCCAAACTTATCACTCACACAATTGCAGGAATGTACCCCAAACTCCATTCAATTGCCGCTCATTAGAGTTACAAACTGCACAGCACATAGCGCCGTGAATAGCCTTATCAGATAGATGTGGTAATCACCCCTCGCTAAATGAATTCTGAGGTAACACGACCTTGTGGTCGAAAGGAAACGTGTGCAAAACAAGGAAACACCGCCCTAATCAGTGACCTCATTCTTGAGTGATGCGGGACCCGACCTGAGTAAGACGGAAAAGATCAACGGCATGAGGGTGTTGGATCCCGAGCATGGCTTCGTTTTGCTGCACTCGTGCTCCGAATCAGAATTGTCATCCCATTCTATTCATTGAGCATGATAGTCTGAACTCCGGCATCTTATCTGGAATCCGAACTGGGAGGTGGCAAGCAGATCAAAGCTTCAAGGTAGGTATAAAGGCGGAATACACATACACCCCGATGAGTCCTTGGTATTTCTCACTTCAACGAAGATAAAAACTCTTTGACATGAGCAGATAGAATTGCAGAGCGTGGGAGTCAAGGCGGATGCTTGGCAACGAGGAAGGGACCCAAGCAAGTGCCCACGCAGTGACATATCCTAACTCTCAAGGGCCCCGCAGCGCTGGTGTTGATACACACTGGACCCCTTCGGTAGCGACAAGTGAACTTCGTAGTGGAAATTGGCTGGAATGTACCCTGAATCCTGATAGGCTTAGTACACGGTTTCATCTTTTGCACTGATCGGGTCACGTCTTGAGAATTTTGCATTTGATGTCTAGTCTGCCAGCGGACGCCGGGCGTTATTAGGCGTTATTCTGTGTTATTTGATGGGCTCCAAATCGTGTGCAGTCCGCGGATTATAATTCGTGCCCACCATTCTGTAGGTGAAATTCAACAGCAGTGAAAATGATTGCTGTCAGATTAATATTATTACCTTTCTCTACCATAACGCCTGATGCGGATAGACTCGGTCGCGGAAGCACTTTGGACCATGCGTGGACAGGCGTGGACGCGAAGAAACTATTAGCCAGCTATACTCGGTGACTGGCATTGTCGACCAGAATTAAATTTTGAGCGCTCGTTTTGGGACAGTCTACAGCTGAAGAACATGTTGGTTCTGGTGAAAGCCCATCAATGAAGGAGCTCACTTCCGTGCTGGGGACAGGTGAACGTAAAGCCAATGACAGGCTCTGACAGGAGCCTTCGAAATTCCAGCCCAGAAGCAGTTCATGCATGTAGCCTAGGCTGTCCAAATGGAGCACAATATATGTGAGTGAAAGTGCGATCGGTGGCTGGACAAGCCTACAATGTCACAGTGCACAAGCAAGCCAGATCTACCCGCGGCACATGATTGAGCAACGACTCAGGGTAGATTCGAATTATGCTACCTTAACTGAGGGCAAATTGTGCCTGCGATCCAACTGCGATCAGCGTTATCCCTTCGCTATATTCTTCCAGACTCGCAGTCTATAATTCTGACAGTTCACTGTTGCTATCGAGCCGGCGGCTTATCTGTATGCAGTACTTACACCTGAACTTGTATCAGCGTAGATGCGGCCTATATAAATAGGATTCGTAACTTGACATTTAAATCGGAATCGATGTCGAAGCTACATCTCGAGGTTTGGCCCGTATCCGCGCGCGCCTATACGCGCTGTCGGTGCCTAACAGATTATAAATTTGATGGTTGACAACGCAGAAGTAATATGTACGATCACCGCATGGACAAACCGTCGGGTCCGTTGGGTAAGTGTATGTAGTATACCAAGAAGTTGTCATCCGTTGACGCCGTGACCCGTCCCTGTACAGAGAAGCTTCAAGGGGAACTGTTTTCAATTCAGCACCTGTGCATCCAAAGTCCTGGTTAGGAGTTGGTTAAAAGGATTATGTATAATTAATATTACAATCACGCATCATGTAAGAGTTGGCGCTCAGTATATGTTGGCCTTGCACGCGGCGGCGGGCCATAACAAGTACTATGTCTTCAAGGATGAGTAGTAAGTCCTTCATTAGTCCAGTTGAACCACACTGCAAATGCACGAACCCCTCACATGATGAGAACCCCCGAAAATTGCAAGAATCAGCTCCCAATGCCGGCATCTCACGATGAGTGTTTTCCAGTGGGATCGAAATTACCAAAAGGACCCACGAAGGTTTGGTGAAGATGTACCAAACCGATTTTTCCACCCTACGAAGTTCCGTGCAAGTCGCCGTTCACGTGCCCAGGACAGTTGCAAAATAGGCACTTCGGTAGTTCTCCTACTTTTCTTTTTTTGGCACTCGCGAGCAGTTTTAAACTATATATTTATGCACATGCATTGCCCATGACGGGTTCCCGACTAGCCCTTCAACTTTTTCATTGACTTTCCTATCTTTGCTGGCCCAAATGTCTGATAAAGTATGTTCTATCGCATCTTGCCGTTAGCCAAATATATTGACTCAACCTCTCCAGCCAGAATTGACCATAAGCTTTGTTGTCGTTGGTGGTGGAATCGCAGGCCTTGCATGTGCGATAGCACTTAGACGAGTCGGCCATCGCGTACTTGTGCTCGAACGATACTCAGATGCAGAAGTTTCAAAGGTTGGTATCCCGCAGTTAGCTGCACTGTCGCATTCTCAATGCGTCGCTGGACAGATGTCGCACGGAGGCATTCGGTTGCCTCCAAACGTCTCGAAAGTTCTCTTTCATTGGGGCCTCGAGGGCCCTCTTCGGCAAGTATCTATAACGTCGAGAGCTATGGAGGTCGATATTTGTGCGTGTACATCGGCACCCCACCCCCAACCTATACTGACTTCATACACAGATGAAACAGGCGAGTTTATTGGTACCCACCGGTGGGAAGAAGAGGTACTGCGAGAGACTGGAGGAGAATTCCTCTTCCTGCATGTATGTATGATCTGCTGCCCTCGCTTCATACTAATTCCATCCACTCGTACAGCACGACGGTCTCCGGCGAGTTTTGTACGAGGCCGCTATAGCAGCGGGCGCTCAAGTGCGAGCGGGAGCAACTGTTGTCTCTGTAAGCGGTGATAGACCCCACGTGACATTGTCCACGGGGGAAACACTACTGGCCGATGTGATTATTGGCGCCGATGGCCGCTCGAGTTTAGTGCAACAAGCAATTGTCGGTAAGGATATTTTCGACGCAGCACCATATCAACATTTATTCTACAAGTAAGCATCGTCCTAGACTTTGTGGATGAAACTCATTATCTAACTGCTTTAGTACTACCGTCCCGGGAGCGCTTATGAGAGCCGACCCTCAATTAGCACTCTTCTTCAAGCAACCCGTTGTAAGTTGCGCACTCGCACGATCATGATTGACTTTAATGTGATGTTCAGGAGACTATGTATGTTTGGCTGGGCAACAACCGTTCGGCTTGTGCGTTTCGTATGGTATGCCAACAACTCGTGAAGTGCTTTGCTTAATCTAACAGCTACTGAGAAGGGAGGTAAAGACGAGTATGCGCTACATTTATGGGTGCCTTCCAGGCAAAAGGGGTTATCCGACGATGATTGCTGGGGAGGAGGCCTAGATTTAAATGAGATGCGGCGGCAGCTTGGAGAGTGCGAACCGAGGTACAATCAATCTCATAATGTTTGTTCATTCAGGCTGATCAAGATTTTCAGACTCCAAAAGATGACCAAACTGGCTGCCACACCTGCCCGTGTACAGGTCAAGATGGTTCCACCAATAGAGGATTGGGTTGATGAACACGGTCGTATGGTAATTCTAGGGGAAGCTGCACATCCACTTCCAGTATGCTACTACTCTGCCCAGAGAACGACGCATTGTGCTAACTCTTCCCTCAGGCAGGATCCTTGCAAGGCGGCGCAATGGCTGTAGAAGACGCTGCTGTACTCGGAAAGCTTTTCTCCCATCTCCGAGATAAGGACCAAATATCGACGTTTTTACATGCATTTCAAGATCTCCGGGAAGATCGCTGTGCCAGTGTCGTGCATACCGAACAATGCAATATGTATTTCCAAATGATGCCGGCTGGTCCTCAGCAGGAACAACGCGATCAGGACATGCGCGCCAAGACTGCTCAAGGGGAAAGTGTTTTCTGTGGCGGCGAAGCTTCCGAACAATGGGAGCAACTCAAAGTACTTTGCGGATACGATGCTGAAGATGAAGCCGACAACTGGTGGGTCAATTGGGGCCTTCTCCGCGAGAGAGCCAAGCAGCGGTCATTAGACATGGAGGCAGAAATGAACACTGCAAGGCTGGGTAGTCTCCGTTTGCGAGCATGACGAGTGCTCCTCCCCTCTTTATTATGTTATGTTTAGTGTATTCACATATATTGCTCGTTCCTTTCGTTTAATGGCGTCGCTCTCTAGTCACTCATTTGCTCATCGTTCCTTTCTGTAATCTCTCGTTGCATTGTTATTTTATTGATCTCTCAGTTCAGGACATTCGGATACCACCACATTAACATTAACACTACTATCGTTACAGTCGTATTTGCTACTCACAGGGCTATTGAATAGATTACCAAATTTCAAGGTTCGAGCTGCGTGATTGTGCTTATCAGATGAAGTGTCAGCGATCTCCTCACGCCAGCGCAGGCCTGCGTAAGCCAGCACTCCCCGGCACTCCCTCAGGGCTTCTGTTCAGGTATGAGAACCTGTGAGAAATCTCCGGACCGGGAAGAATGAACACGGAGTATGACACTTCAGGCTTCAGGTACAGGGCTGTACAGGGTCGACCATTGGTTAGCTCTAATGACGAAAGATCATGACGCATCGATAGGCACGTCTCGTATTGGTGCATTCGAAACCTTTCGAAACCCCCTCGTTGCTTGAAATCAGGCCAGGCTGGGGCTTACCTCCGCAGTCCACATACATGATTTCTAGTAGACTCGCCCTTGAATTCTAGTCCAATGTTGTATACAACCGCGTCATCGTCGAGCGAACGGGGCTCGTAAACGAGCCAATTCGGGGTGACGAAGGCGCTAAGTATTTGATTTGGAAACGATGTTTCCTATAGGAGGGCGCAGGACGCGTCGGATGCTAATTAAGAGTGCTAGGACGATCGATGACGACTCGGACAAATCATTAACACCGTCGGTAAACACCTTTTCGCATCTCTTCTTCTCTGAGAACCGGGTGAGTGATCACAGCGGAAAACGCTCCCGCGAAATAACGTACCGGTACTCAAACATAAGCTGTATTCCCACAAATATAATACAGCTTGCCGCGAGCAAAAATCGGAATCCTAATGGAGTATTAGATAGTCCATTATGACGTGTGACAAAGAACAAAAGGCGACCCACCTTGCCACGTTCCCAATATCTGGCTGGCCATATACATTATCCCCTCCGTACCGATAACAAATCCAACAAGGTTTGCAGAAGCCATCATCAACATGTTGAATACACCTCCAATTGCACAGACATGGCGATACCACGAAAATTGCCCGTACTGACCGCGGGAAGTCAATGAATCACAGAAGGTAAGAACACGAAGATGGTATCGACTAACCTGTGTTTGGGGGAGAAGATACCTCGCAAGCAGCTCAGGTAGAATGAAAAGAGTGACGAGCCATCCCCACGCAAGCAAGCGGAAAGACAGATCATGCCAGAGCGCGACAAATGAGAAAATGAGCGCAGTTGTCAGTGCAGTGTTCTTTGTGCCACCGAGCGGAATGTAAATGTATCTGTATGCCAGTGAGTAAGAAGCCTGCATATTTAAGACAACAGACGAACCGGACAACCCAGAGATTGTAAGACCGATGCCAACTTCGCCAAAATCCAAGAGTAGAGTAGTTATTGACTACGCACCGCACCATGTTTTCAGGTGGATCGATGCCGCATGCCAAAGACCAGAGACGGAAAAATCGCCATGGCAGAAGGAGCTACTCAGATGATCAGTCAAAATCAGACACCATTCCAAAAAAAACTTACTTTTAACCAAACGACGATGAGATTCCAAAAGCCGATCAGACTCATTTCCAGCGGTGTATAGCCTTGCCAAGCCTTGGCATCTTTGATAGCCACAACGTACATATAGTGTAGTATGGACTCCATGGTCAGGAGACTAACGAGGAAACGAACCAAGTAACGGATTTGGGCGCGTATGGGAATATCTGTAGGATGGTGCAACTGCATAATATAAATGAAAGCGAATGAAACAGAATATAGTTGTCCCGCACCTGCCACATGAAATTATTGAATGTCAGAATAGGACCAGCGATGTAGAGCGGAGGATAGAGGACATAAGCGATGTAGTTCCAATATGTATAATCTTCTAGAGGGAGTGGCGTGTTTGCTCTCTGCTTTTCGGTGGAAGCAGAGCTCAAGCTCTTCGAGATGCATAAGGATAGAGACGAATATGAAGGCTAGTTGCTTACTTCTCCTCCGCGAGAATTGTGGGCCCAATAGTAATCCATGTTGAATGACACCAATCTCAGCATAGTGATATTGAAGTTTATGTGCCAACGCGGATAAATGCCTTGGAATGCGTCCTGCATAGAAAGTCAGACGCTATTCATAATAGACACCTACAACGACGCACCAAAACTTCTAATGAAGGGTGGAAATTGGCGTACCGATATCCGCCATATATGTCATTGGCGAATAAGACTAAAACGTTAAAAATCCATGTCAGCAGTGGTCCCATGCGTGATCCTCTGGATGTCTTAGCAATCCAGTAATTAGTGGTCAGGATGAATATAATCTTGAAGATGCTCGTCCCGTGAAGGCCAATAAGGTATAGAGCAGAGAACGCGAGGAAAAACGGAATCAGGTAAAGCTTATCCGAGGGTATACTTGAGGCAGAGCGCAATACAGACCGTGTATATATATACTTGAGAGCGATGAAAAGCAGGACAAGGAGTGAGAGTGGGAGTATGTTGTTGCGAAATGATCGATACTGGGTATCACTGTTATCCTGCAAGAATAAAGGTCAGGGAATTATTTTGTGATTCCGGATATTGCATGAATCAAGAGGCAGAAATCGGCCAGGCTCCATGCCAACAAAATACGACACTCACAACTTCGCGTCCAAACATCCAGCCTGGTGACAATCTATGGCGATAATATGGATAATTCGGATGTAAAGCTAACGACGTTTCATCAGCATTATAAACGACCTTTTGCAACAAAATGCTACATACGTGAACTCAAGTGGATAGGTACCCATGCCATGAAAGGGATCGCAAACAAAGCGACCACATAGTAGAAGACAAATTCTGGAGTTTTCCACCTTTGAGGAGGGCGTGGTTCGTTTGGGATGCGACTTGAAGCAGCAATATCGACGGTGAGTGATGTAATTCCCCCTGGCTTTGGCGGATTGTAGTCGAGGTCGAATCTCGAGAAATTGCCTTCTTGGTTTCGCATGTCTGTCGGCATATCGATCACGACGTCCTTGAGCATGAACTCCGTATTTCTGGAAGGAAGGTGTATTGGTTCTGCGAGGTTTCAAGTCGAGTCCATCGGCAGGCTGCAAGTTGGAGAATCGCAGGAGGCGTTTGACAACTCGTCCGCGTTAGTGATGCGAGAAATTTCTTCCTTATGTGGACAGTGGCAGGCCGTGGTCTTGTTTCTTGGAAATTCGAATCGCATCATGGTTCCATTGACATCTACTGTGTATTGCCAGTCAGTTCCTCAGTGAAGGAATTTTTTTTGACTGCATAGCTGATACAATGCTTGGACGCGCAGTGGACGACATTTCCACGGGCTCAGATTCTGAATACTCTAAGTGGGTCCTTTGATTTCCTAACCGTCATGCCCAACTGAAGCTGTGCTGCTTCATCGGTTTCCAGTTCGGTGAGAAACCAAGTCACGACGGACATGCTGCATACTAAACCCAGTCGAAGTGGATATCGTGGTTTCTTTCATCCAAGGGCAACGAATATTTCTGTGAAGTCGAAGAGGACTATATCCTAGATAGATTCAATCTCACCGGCCTCAACAACGAAGTTTCAAACTATGCACAAGCGCTCGATTTAATCACGGATAATCTCGGTACACTTTTTAAGCCACTTTGATAGGCTGTGACTGAGAGCCATCGATTCCTAGACGACGACATACAAGACGAGCTACGCGGTGCACTCGATGTCCAGGCCCGTTTGTTGTATGGTCTAATCCATGCTCGATGGATCGTTACCGCCCGCGGACTTGCTAAAATGGTATCGTCTGCCTGCTCTCACCGCTAACGTTTCCTCACCTCCTTTCAGCTCGAGAAATTCAAGCGAGTGGATTTTGGTCGATGCCCGCGAGTACTCTGCCAATCTCAGCCACTGCTTCCGGTGGGCCTCAGTGACACGCCCTACGAAAAATCAGTTAAATTATACTGCGGCCGATGCGAGGATGTCTACTCTCCCAAATCGTCGCGCCATGGCTCCATTGATGGCGCTTACTTTGGCACGTCCTTCCCTCACCTATTGTTCCTTGTGTACCCTAGTCTTCTGCCACCGAAAGCCGGCCCTGTTGACCCCACTCCAAGCTCTCGTGGTCTTGAAAACGATTCAAGCAGAAAGAGTAGGAGAGCGAAGGAGGAACCAGAAATTTCCGAGAGTGTTGGAGAGACGGGCAGCACTTCAGGTGTCGCATTGAAAGCGGAAAGATATCGACCAAGGATATATGGGTTTCAGTTGAACGAGACTGCAAAGTTGCAGAGATGGCAAGAGGCTGTTCGTGATAGGTGAGCTAGTTTATTGTTTCCAAGACCTTTCTCATGCGTAATGTGTAGACAGATAGCACGACTCGAAGTGCTCGAGGACCTCAGTTAAATTATTTGTTTTACTTCTTTAAATCGCGATCATATCATATCAGTGCATTGGGCTCACTGCGTTGAAATTCACATTCTGTGAGCAGAGTCAGCAAACCTCCAAAGAGAGTTCTCACAAATCAAAAACGACGGAAAAGTGATCTGCACTCTTCATCGTCTACTCCGGATGACGACGACGATAGCTATTATATGTCTTTGCCAGTGGGGAAGAGGTCGAAAGGAGGCGTTGGCTATGCCGGAGAGGTGAAGGAAGATGTGAGTTTTCATATCCATATGAACATCATCAGTGGCTGTTACTGAGAAGATGAAAGACTTCTCGCTAATGAGAAGCTCAGGCCACCCAGCGCCTGAAAGATGAGAAGATCGGCACGATACTTTTCCATATCCCCGGACATCTTCCGTCTACATGGTTCACTCCGCAGCTCTTGCTCGTCTCCGTAGACGATTTAAGTTTCTCTGCACCACTCTTCTTATAAATGATTACCTCTCACACATTTCAGATTGTTCGGCGCTGTACTTTGAGTTATTTTAATGGCTCGAGGTAGTTCAAGGCTATAATTATACGTCCAACTACATTGATTGACGCGCATAATTACAGACTATATCCAAGTATGATGCCGATGCCGATCATGGCGGTTTTCTTTATCAAATCTGTCGCACCCAAGAACGTAGCCAAGGGTATAAAGTCACCCATATGGGAACGAACTATCATCTATGAAGGCAGTGCTGGCCCGTGAAGCAATTGTCATCCAAGCGCAAGCAGCTATCAAAGGATTGAATTCATTGAAACTCCTGACCCTGGGTACTTGAGATGAAAAAGGAGCAGAACCGCATGCCATCGTCCGCGAAGTGCGAGAAGAGACACCCTTGTCTAACCAGGTTTATGGAGTTCCTTTGGCCCATATTTTTGTCTGACTTAGCCAATCATGCAGCTCGAGTTGACGAGAATTGTGTAGACATCAAGGCGCTCATCAATGGTCCAGAAGGAACCCTTTCTCTCGCTCTCTTGTGATATTCTTGATTGCATTTTCTAGGTACCAAGACCAATGAAGATAGTCATTCCTTAGCGGGCCTCTGGAAAGTTGACATTGCTGCAAGTCTGCGCGTCCTGCCCCTTGAGTTCACTGGACATCCAGCATGAGGAGTTAGATGCCCGGTTGGGGAATGAGAGTGATGTATAAAGACATGCTGCAAGTATGAGGACGTCTGGTTCTGCTTATTGTTTTCTCATTTATTTGATCCAGTTTCCTACACAACCTCCGGCCCTTCTCGATCAACCGAGAGGAGAGTGAAATGGACTAGAAATTAGAGACGAGGCTCATTCTCTTATTCAGAGATTGAGAAGAACAACGTTCCAAGGGAACAGAAATGGAAGAGTGCTGTTGGGGTAAAGACTTGAGTGATAGAGTATTGTCCTCGATCTCATGTACAGAGCACCAGAAGTGAAAGTTTTGATCATTGCACCAGGACTGACGAAGAAAGTCTCTGCATATGCTCCTCAGCTGAACTTTGTCTCTAGCAGAGGTCGTCCTGAGGCTAGGCCCCACGTGCCTGATAGACTCCGAGTCGGCAGTCGGTTATCATTAATATTCCGGTTACTTAATACCCCTGGTTCTCGAACGGTTCCGCCATGCTTGAAATTTGAAAGGCGATGCAATTGTCAACTTGTTACCTGACTCAAAGTTTGCTCGAGGCTTATAAGACTTGCATATGTACCGCACCTTCTCTGCTCTGCGCTCCCACTCAGGATGAATGTGATAACTCTCTCTGCAACTGACTTTCCCATCAAGTCCGTGAAGATCTTCAGTTCTGATTTACTAGCTGAGGTCACTCGCGTTTTTCCCCTCGACTTTACCCAGTCTCTAGTACGTGCATTGTGATTGACCTCAGCAACTTCCACAACACTTACTACTACTACATAATAGGCTCAGGACGGGTCGCAGGTCGGGTCGCAGGTCATCGAGATTTCAAACCTTCCCAACCTGCATATCAGTGGAATTCGGGCATGTGTGACCACTGGTTCAGATGATCTGCTAGTCATGGATTACTACTGCCACAGCCGGCCCAATGTTGATCCTGTCAGTAGTGATGTCCTTCGTGATCTGAAGGCCGAGTGCACACGCTTGGAGGACGAGCGTCGACTAAGGCAACAAAGCTTCGCCTTCCTGTCGACGTACATGAACTCCCTTGCCAAAGGAGATGCTCCATCTGTGGCGGAACCTGCACAACTCGTTACGTTCTTCGATGAGTTCGTAGAAATCGGCAAGAGTCGATCTGAGGTCATTGCGGTACTTGACCAACAGATCAAGGACGTCACGAAGGAGTTAGACAAAGAAATACACCGACTTTACCTCGAGTCCCTCTCCTTGGTGACGAAAGCCACTGTTGTTATTGCACCAGTTTCTGGCCGCACGGCTACAATCGCTGAGCTGGAACTGAAGTACAGTGAGTTATCTTACCATCAAGTTACCGCACTTTCATCTCACCGAGTTCTCACTAGGGGTTAGCGCTACATGGAAACCAGAATACGAGATGCATGTCACGACTATTGACGGTGTCCCTTCTCCATCAGTTTCTCTCACTTATCGATGCCTCATTTTTCAGTCTACCGGGGAGAATTGGGATAATGTGGAGCTTGCGGTGACGACAGCCAAGTCCCGTGCTCCTTCAGGAGGACTACCTGAGCCAAAGAGGACAGAGATCAGGCAACAAGGGCCCCTGGTGCAGCCTGACTCGTACCATGAATCGGCAGTTAAGCCCCAAATTACGCCATTGTGGAAAACACCAGGACATGGTTCATTATTCGGAAGTGCTATGCCCTCAACACAGCAAGCAAGCCAAGGCCTATTTGGAAGCGCTTTTGGTGCTTCTCACCAAGCAGACTCCAGCCAAGCCTCATTCGGGGCCGCACAGGGACCTGCAGCAGGCAACGTGTTCGGAGCTTCACAAGCACAACCCACCGCCACAACTCCAGGTCTCTTTGGATCTACTTCAGCGCAGCCAATTGCAAGTTCAACGTTAGCGTTCGGAGCTTCTCAATTTCCAGCACAACCCACCGCCACAACTTCAGGTCTCTTTGGATCTACATCAACGCAGCCAATTGCAGGTTCAACGTTGGCGTTCGGAGCTTCTCAATTTCCAGCACAACCCACCGCCACAACTTCAGGTCTCTTTGGATCTAAACCTCCCCCATATTCATCCCCACAGAACTCAAATGTGTCGAGTTTCGGCGGGGGTACCACGACAGAGAACACCCTTAGCTTCAACCAACAAGCACCAAATTTGACGCAAGTTCATATATTGCCAGTGCCGTTTCCGTCCGCTCCAGTGCCATCCTCGCCGCAGCACCAAGATGGAGAAAGCGTGGTGTTGGCACAGGTGAGTCATGATTGTTCCCTATTACTAGCAGGTCCGACAATGGTTTTTTCGTAGCCCGACAAAGACGTTACCCACACAGCGACTGCAAAAGTGTCCATTCCAAGTCGTGCAGCAGGGGGATGCCATCACGTTCTCATAGCAACCATCCCACTGAAAGCGATATTTACAAGAATCGCAGTACCAAGCATTGATACCCGCGTCTTTTTTACTGTGGGTGGTGTTTCGTTTATGTCATCGTATCTGCCTCATATCTACCACTCTAGTGCGATATTCTAAATTCCAGCAACTATGTTCTGACTCCTGGCACCGTTCACACTCGCCTGGATGGAAAACACGTTTCTGACAGCGACATCACGGTACGTTATTTCATATAATTAGTTTCCGGGACCTATCACCTTGCACATCACATCAGAGCGTCAAGCAGCCACAAACCATTCATTGCTCTCTTGGTATCGACCCTGCTGTGACCACTCAGTTCAGCCGCAGTGTCGACTCACTGCCCGACTTCACCGTGCTCAATGGCAAGGTGGTTACGACGCATACTATCACGACCACCATCAAAAACACGCACCGCCACCCCGTCAGCAACGTCATCGTTCGTACATCCCTGCCGCTTCCTGCAGACCCTCGTGTCACAGTCGCATTGCAAGAGCCTGAAGGTCTGGCTGGTATCGACTCGGGCACGGTGCGGGTGAGAGATGGGTGTCATGCAAGGTGGTTGACCACTGGAAACCGTGCTGGAAAGAATGATGGACTGTTCGAGTGGGTGTGCAGTAGTGTGAAACCCGGTTCAGAGATGTTGAAAGCAGTATGGTATGTGACTGCCCCTCGCGGTCTCAGTTTCACAACACAGTAGCCTGCTTGTTTGCGGCAATTACCTGTACGAGAAGGAACAGTCATTCCAAATTGTTGTTGTTTCGAGGCGGAATTAAAACTTCCAGTGTAAGAAACCCTCTGTATAGTACTGTACAAAATTTTTGCGCGCGCGTCAATTGTAATACATCGTCGTTGTCTGGTCTTGACCATCTTTTACAGTACGCCATCGCTGCGCACAGCACATTGCCCGAATTCCAGCTTCTTCAAACCTTCATCCTTGGGTAAAATGTCCTTTTACACCTGATTTAGCTGATTTGACTATATGTATTACGACGAACTCACGTGTTCGAAGATCCCCAAGGGAAGAGCGAGAGTCACACAAGCATTTGGAGAGTCCTGAGATAAAACTGAATCAAACTGTCGAGGAACTCAGATTGGACTTGACTTACCACAATCGCACCAATATGGCTTTCCACCGGCGCAGCAGACATCAAAAGGTCTGAATGAGGATGAGCACCTATCTTTCTCTCACAGAACACACACTTACATGCTTGTTCACGGGCTATGGTCATACTCGCTGATCAGTAGACGATTCATTTTGCGACGCAGGGCTTACTGTAACCAATCTTCATAAGATAAGCGATGGCGTTCAGAGCAGCCTGTTTGTATGCCACCGTGCTAAGTAGAAGCATTGAGCTACGCATCAATATGTCAAGGGAAAAGACACTGACGCATCCATGTTGTACTGGGTACCATCGCCGTCTGTTAAATGGTATCATCAATAATGCATGATGTCGGATTCAGTGTGCCCATGCATACGGTAATCTACGCTGATCCCTTGGAAGATCAACTAGCAACTTGGGTCAGCGACCAAAACAGATGATGTGCGTCTGCCCTTACTTTTGCAGAGTATAGCGGATCGACAGGAGAGGGCTGTGACGGTCAGCACCGGTGAGTGTCCACCTGAGACCAGTACATACCAAGAAGATGGGTTGTTTCATAGCAAACTTCTCAACACCACCCTTGATGATGCTAGTGCTGAAAGTGACGATTCCAGCCTGACAACCCGCATTAGTGAGAGCAGGTCAAGATTCCAAAAATACATACCATTTCGATGGCGCCACAGAAGGACAGCTAAGTAGCATTCATTCAGATCATTGACGCGCTGACAGATTCTAGCCTACCTCGCCCTGTCGGAATGTTAGCATGAGTGCAACTGCGTGATTAAGACACTTACATCTCCTTGAGAGAAGTGGAGATCGCCAACAGACAAGTTTGCCCCCTTCACGAAAACAGGGAAATAGCAACGTGAGCCCCTTGATCCAAAGTATGTGAATAACAACGGAAGCCTGCAGCGAACTTTCTTTACCTTGACAAGTTTTTGATCTATGAAGCAGACAGTTACAGCGAGGTGAGATAACCAAGGCTTGTTTGAGGGAAGCTTACATCACAGTTACCGCCATGTTCTCTTCCAGGAATCGTCCGCGCGCCCTCGCGGTAGATTTTCCCTCGTACATCATCAGGAAGTTCTTGGCCGACATATGCGCCTGGTACCAATGGGCCGTAGGCGACAGGAGGAACTGAATTAGCGTGAGCTTCAATAAGGGCACCTTCACGCTTGTTCCAGGTTGCAAGCAGCTCAGCGGATGGTGCTGTGCCAATCAAACCAGGATGCGACACGCCAGCGAAGCGCACGCCAGGAATGTGCCTTGAAGTGGCATACACGCCTGGAAAGGCATGTCGTTAGGTTGTGCATGCATTGTAGACAGATACAAACCATGGAAATCCCAGATAGCCTTTGCAGCTCTGCTCTGGAACTCGCGAGCTACGTAAAATGTTGAATTAGAAAGACGCGGAGCATGCCATCTAAATTCGCTCACCAAACAACCCACCACCGTTCTCGAGCTCGAAAATACCCTGTTGCACTTTAGGCGCTTTGCTAAATTATCATTTTTGTGAGTCCTTACAGTGTAGCCCCAGGGCATCTTGTCAAATGGTCTGACTATGAACGAATAAATGGGACATAGACGAGCAATCAGGTACGGCATACCATCAAGAATGTCAACCACAAGACAATCTCCAGGCTCGGCACCCTCCACGGCGATTGGACCGGACAGATTATGAACGCTGGTCAGGTCTACGTCTCTGATATCATCGCTCGCTGACGAAAACAATCACATTTAAGCAAAGCTCTATGATGACGAAAGCCCGTGCACGTACTGTCGTTGTTACCGATCTGCGCTCCTGTCCAGTCAACACATTCGATATTGAATACCTGTGCAAATAATCGAACGTGAGACAGATGTCTACATTCAGGGACACATGACATACCTGTCCGGGTTTGACTGTGGCAACAGCAGGGATGTCGGGACTGCGAACAGGGTCATGGGATCGATTGAGGAACGAAAAGCTTATTAACTCACTGCCAGCGGTTGTGGAGGCCCTGGAAAACGTTAGCAAATGCTCTAATTACAAAGACACAAGGAGCAAACCTTCTGTTCCCTTGCAGGACTTTTAACCGATTGACATCATGAGCGCTCAAGACGTACGAACTTCAACCCAAAAACCTACATAAAAGGATCAGCCTAGAGAGGAAATGTTCAATTGTCAACTTTTGCAGGGTGAACTGGACGCAGCTGCGTACCGAAATCAAGGTTGGGTGAGCTACGGAGTTCGCTACAGTTGCCATGAGTTAATCGCGTCTTGCGTTTGACGAGGTTTGCGAGGAGAAAGCTAAGTCGAAGGGAGCGGAACATCGATTGAAGCCACTGGCTTATAATGGCTCTTGATAAGACCAGCGGTCCGCGTTATCTTGTCATGGGAGCTTTATGAGTACTTGGCAATCCTGTACACAGGCTCATGCCAAAGGCTTAATTTTGGACCAGTTGGTAACGTCAGAACGGAGCAGCGCACTAAGCCGAGATTCTCACCTACCATGGTCACGCGCACTCCCAGATAATAGCAAGTTCATAAAGCATGCACAATATTGTACCATTTTCATAAATGCGTGCGAACCTCAAAGATCAATTGCTAGTGACTTGCCACTATAAGCTGAAGCAATATAGGACAGTACTAGTTCAAGTGGCCTTCTACACACATTTACATGAAAACCAATGCAGCTGTAGATACAGCTGTGGCCCCTAAAACAGCATACCCAGCCCTGTAAGCTCCTGTGAGACTCAAAACTTCAGAAGCTACATGAGCAGACATCAATTAAACAAAACACAAATAACATACATTTACCCATGTCCCAACTCAAGTGTCGCAAACCATTCCAGAAGTGGAAAGTGAAAGGCGCAGCCAGAATCACCTTGCCGGTGTACTTCACGTAGTCTGGAAGCCCTCCGACGAACTCGATGATATGTGCGCTGTCGAAAGTATCTGGAGCAACGAGGTATGCTAGCGAAAAGCCGTACAAGACTTAATGAGGTCAGTGACACTATATTTCAGTCATTTATGAGGAATCGGACATACGTGCACTAAGCGCACCGCCAGTTGCGCGGTTTGCAATCGAGCTAAGCCATGTTAGTTGAGGCTGGTATATTGTGAAGTGAGGGCTGGAAGGGCGTTTGAGACGCTGGGCGTTCAGAATTGCTTCCGACGCTGATGGAGACAGGGATTGTATCTGCACACCACTAAATTACATTTAGAAATGATATTTCAAAATGGCGCAAAAGACATCTTACCGCTTGAGAATTACGGAAGGCGAGGCAGTTGATCTCCCTGTATTAAGCATGTTAGTATACCACTTTCCAATTATGATGGCACTAACCGGTCACTGAGGCGAACGCTACTCTCCTCGTAGAACCAACAATACGAGCGGACATCATGATGAAGTATGGTAAAGGAGAGAAAGCGGAAACTGACCGTCGGTGATAGACGGAATCGGATCGTGGGAAATCTTGTCACACTTCACACTCCATAAATTCGAGGACTTATGTCCAAGGGCAGAAAACTTCAAGTTGTGCATTGTAGGAGACTGGTTACAAAGAAGCCTATAACAGCGAGGTACGCGTTGGGGGAATCCTGCGCACTATGTACTGAATACGACGGGCACAATAGGCTAAGAAATCAAAAACAGATCTCTCGTCATCATGAGCCACTCGGGAACGTAATTTCCAGTTGCTGAAGCCCTGACGTAGAACCTGGAACCGAGAAAAAACTTCGTCCATGTTCGGACGTTGTGTTGGATCTGAGTGCATCATGTCCGACACCAGACCGTTCAGGAATTCCACACCCGAGTAACACTGTTTTGTCAAAATCAGAGTGTGAGGAATGAGAAGTCAACATTGCACTTTACATCGAGAAAGGTTTCTTGAATGGCATGCCCAAGATACCAAACATCAGTTGGGAAAGGGTTCCAAGGTTTGGTGTAGGCTTGCGCGAACTCTGGTACTCCTTTGTCTCCACCATATATGGGTATTTCTAGTGGATTGGAATCGGACGCATCATATTTGCGGGAGATGCCAAAGTCTATGTAATAGTATCGTGGCGGAGATTGCGTGCGTGTGCGATGCCTGGCCGGGCGTTTGAGGTCCACCGACATATATTGGTCGCTTGGATGCCATGCGTCTTTGAACATGCTGCCGTCCATCATTATGTTTAGCTGCATGCAATCCCTATGCCCAGGCCATGAGACAAATCACTCGAACAACTAGAAAACTTACCGGTGAGCGACGTGATGTCTATGCATGAAGCGCAGCCCCTTCAAATGAAAGAAATAAGTGATGTGACGTGAATCAATCAATCGAGACCTTACCTCAAAAAGCTGGTGGATAAAGTCTACAACTTCTCCAACCGTGTCAAAATAGGGATCCGTAGCATATCGAAGTAACGGCATGACAAGTATTGCAAGATTACCATCGGCGGGCACCTGCAGAACATCATAGATTGGCACGCAATGGTTGGCTGGATCTTGACTGAGAAGGGAGCTACAGAAATAACGGCCGATTTCTATCTCATACGGGTGCATCTTTATGTTTATACGTTTGAGTGATACACGAGCGCCATCTTGGATGCGCTGTGCGTCTAACAGATGATAGTGCTGAAGGACACGTGGTAGTTGACCAACATTGCTATTGTTGAAGCACCTACTCGTGCCATGATTCCATCCTCGCAATTTATGTCAATTTTGTTGGTATTCGTCCAAGATGGTACCCAATCTGGAGTGTAGCGACTTCGTAGCTTGTAGCCCTTTTCTTTGAGGAAGTCGTAGTGGTCCCTCCACCAAATCTCGTGTTCGGAAAGTTGGGATTGAGCAGCGGAGGCTGACACGGAGTCCATCCTAAGAAAACTGGCTGAGCTGTGGTGTGAACTAAAGGTGTCGGTTCTGGACCATAGAGAACAAATATGGACCTATAAGGGTAAATTTCGGACTTCGGCCGCGGCTAGGTAGCTATAACGCGGACTTCAGAACCAACTTGGTAATTACATAATAGTGAAACGTCACTGTGCTTGTCACATGGACCCCCAAGTTACTCACTTACTTATCTCATGTACAGGCAAAGCACAGCAATTCATATATTCATAGTATCCAGTACGTATCTGCAAAGTACTCTGATAGGAAACTTTTACCCAAATATCAAGTTTTTATCTCATCGATATCGAGGAATCAGTATTGCTCTCGAGCGTCAAACAGACTTCGTCCACCACTGGCACTGCCAGTCGCTATGTTCCCGTAATTTTCTTGTGGAGGAACTGAATATTGTTGTCCTTGCTCTTTGGACTTATAATCTCTGATCGCTCGTATCAGTCTTTGTATATAACCAAGGCAATCAGCGCGATACATCCTACCAACTTCTGTCATTTTAGTGCTAACCAATGGGTCCCCCGACGACGACCCCGGTAGCCACGCCACTGGAATCTGCGAGCCAATTTCCGGACTCGCCTACAACTCTTACCACGGTGAAGGGCCGGTCAGATTACGAAAAGGGCGAGTATTATCTGCGATCATCGCTGGCGACCTTGAAAGAGCTCGCCAAGTTGTTGGAAAATGAGACCCTCTCAGCGGATCAAAAATCTGTCTACGTTGAAGCTTACACGACTAGCAAGCGTCTATATGATGAGTGGGTTTTTTTTTACCCCATTCAAAGGCCTTTCTTATCCATCCCCGCAGAACGACAGCTGTCAGGGACAAACTGTTGAAGCAAAAGAAATCTTTTCGCAAGCTGCTCGTTAACTTTTTCGTACGCAACTCGGATGCAAAGCGCTTTCATAAAGTCTCATATTGGAGTTACTCGTCTATCAGAGTAAGTCACACAACAGCCAGCACCTCAGAATTGTAGTTAAATAGCGACAAAGAGAACTTCGGATGGCCTGAACAGACTATTGCTGCCGGAGATTGGTATGTCAGAAGGAAATGGAAAGTTTCCCTCGCTCACTCCGCTCTGTTGGTTAGCATTAGAAAGTCTCTCGTCCGCGATTGAGGAAAGTCCACGTGATGTAGAAGAAGGTATGTATCATCACATCCTGTGATGGAACACTAAACATATCTTTGATCAAGACAATCTTTCAGGTCGGTATGAAGATTATATCCCTGCGTCCGCGTATCTAATACAGTGGATCGGTCGAAGGTCTTTGTCCGAACGAAGACATCCGGGAAATAAATCTGGATGTAAATACCGAACAAGAAGCACAAGAGGCCGTTGCAATCATCGATCGACTTGGTAGGGCGCTCTCCAACGAAGAAGACGAACTTGAAGATGATGATCGAACCAGTGAGTTTCTCAATCATCGCCCGTGATATCACTTAACAGACTTCTTGATGTCTCAGTCAAACCCTCGACCTCACAAAGTAGACCGTCGTCTCCCAGCCCCAGCTGCTGCACATTCAATATTATCTACAATATCAACCAAAGTGTGGTGTCTTTTGATTCAGAATCGACAGGCACAACATTGAACGTCGGGATGGATGGGGGTATGTCATATTTGTTGCCAATGTCATCGCGTAATGTTTATTAATGACAATAGGTGTCGGCTCTTCATCTGATTTGTATACTGATACCAATCAGCCACCGTCTCAATGAAATTGATTTGCACGTTGCAGCGCGTTCAATATATCTAGTCAACAGTACCGTATTAGTAATATATCATTGATATGGATATGGCATTCGTGGGTCTCTGGAGGTCTCTGGATGCGTTCGCAGGGCTAGAAAAAGTCGTGACGATGGTGATGAGTGCGGGCACTTCCAGCTGGATTCAGAGTTTACAAGCAGCCGTTAGTTCAAACTCCGGCAATGATGTTATCACACAAAACGTCACAAGTCGTAATCCCAGGTTCTGCTCCGCGAGGCTGGAAAGCACAGCATTAATAGTGTGTTCAAGTTCGGGATGTACTCTCGAGGAGCGGCGACCAATATCGAGATCAATCAGATTTGATGTGGCAATTTGTCCTGTACGCGACTCGTGAAGATCACTTGGTTCGCCCCACTCCAAATCACTGAAATTGATGCATTCGTCTGGCACCGACCCTGTAGCAAGGTTGGTCGATTTCTGGGGAAGGTTAGGGACGGTGTGAACAAGTTCAGAATTTCTGTGAGTCCACGAGCATGCGTACTGAGTTCCTAGAATGCGGCTAAGATTGCACAACAGGGACTCCCGGCAGCTGTAGCCCTGTTCCCCGAATGTCAATCATGAACGTGCTTCGACCCCGAATATCGAGGTAGGTTCTCAAACTTGCCCTTCAGTTTCTGCGCTCTCTCTAAATTTTTGTGGTAGCACAGGTTGATACCCAACCAGCACATCGGGATGCACAAGAGGCTGCGAGGCACATGCATCCACTTTCGGGACCTGTGACAACTGTGGCATCTGCCGGCCAATCCGCGCAAAAGAATCTCGATGCTGCAGACGAGTTCAAGGACAGATATCTCCAATCCCTCAGGATATTCGACCCCATTATCGAGAAGATCACGGATGTATGAGCCACCTCTCGATCAGAACCGAACTAATCCTGTTCCACAGGTACATCCAGCAAAGATGGCACGGCTTCCCTGAACGCCACGAGGCGCCATTGCCAACACGAGAAGACCAATATCAGGTTGAGCTTAAAACGCATGGGGTCCCTCCTCAGCGGCACCACAAGCCCAGATTCCATAATCCGACCCCTTCACGCATCCTTCTGCAATTTCCTGACGAACCGACAATACAATGAAGAGTTTTTCATCGCTGGTTGAATGCACAACACGACCTTGCATCCACGCCACTTGTAGTGATAGAACATATTCTTCGCTTTAATATCTGTTGTTTCAAGCCTTCGTTTCTTCCTATTTGCAAAGAAGCACGGCTAACGACAAGCTACACGCATAGTATAACAATCATTCTTCTGGTACTCACTAAAGTACGAGTCCAAATTATACCTATCTAAAGCATGTAAGTATATCAATCCCACACACTACTCGCGTGTACATATATACGTCTGCACGCGGCATGAGGTGTGATTGTTTGATATTGCACCGAAAAAACCACTTCAGGGGCTGCAATGGGCAATGCGGCGCCTGTACACAATGGTGCGTTGGTCGAGATGTTGGGGATCACAGCCAATAAGAAGGCAGAGGAGTAAGGAGGACAAGGAGGGAAGACAGAGATCCAACTCATGGCTCGCGAAGGACTGCATAAAAACAATGTTTTGACCGAGGATTCGGCTTTCCTGCCACCAGGATGTATTCGGCTGGGTACCATGAAGAGACATCAAATGAAGCAAGGCCGCTCGAGACTATCATACATATGCATGTTGGTATTGTGGAGGGGAACGAAAGAAAAAATACCATGAAGGTTCAGTTTGTACATGTTGAATCCGCAAGGGGTTGTCAAACACGCGCAAATACATTCCTTCAACCACAACTCCAAGTCAGTCGATTGGTCGACGTCGCTAAATTAATTGGTTTACCGGGCCCGCTACTAGTGAGTCGCATGCAGTATTGTTCTATCTAACAGGTTTACAGTCCTACACATTTGGTTGAGGCATAAATCAAGGAAGCTGAAACGCCACTGATCCACCCACCGTTCTTGGGTACTCGCACTCAATTATCACCTCGATCCCATATAATGTGCCCACACCTCACCCGCCGTGGTGTTACATGCAAATTTTTTCCACCAAGTCCAACTTTCCCTGCGTAGGACGTTCTGAAATGTGCATCTGGCTGGAGAAGGATCGTATCGCAAGGTGAAAGTACCACAGATATGCATCATCCTTTGTAACAAATACTACGGTTGCCTAATCGGGATGTCCTTATTGTCAAGCCCCTCCCGGGGTTGTCTTACCCATCGGAATGGTCCCTGCTCATGCGATACAGCAATCCCATATGCATCCGCTATTGCGGCCAGCTTGCTTATTGTTTACGTGTCAATGCGGTCTCTGGGCGTGGCGGACGTGGTTTCTGCGACTGGTAAGTCTCAGTCAGACAGTGATATTTTGGTGACAATTAGTACGGAACATACGAGATTTCGCAAAAGTTTTCTTGCTGGTCAAGTCACGGTGCACGAAAGGTATATAAGTGCCCAGAAACTACGACTTCCGTCAGCTCAGCCGACTTCTGATTCTCATCCATCAGCAGTTTATCCAGCTGCCAACTCCTTCTACTACTCGTAAACCCTCGTCATCTTTCTATCTCCAAAGCGCAATGGACTCATTCTCAAACATCCTCGCTATGATGTCCGCTTCAAAGGCCGGTGATGAGCGGAGTCCTGCATCGTCAACACCAGTTGAGGAGGAGTCGCAATCAAACTCCGGGGGTTGTTATTGCGTTATTGCATGAACACGAGTAAACATTATGCATGCCGTCCCATTCATATACGAACGTAAGTAGTGATGGTTATTTAATTCGAGGGACGAAGGCTTACCATCGTTGGTTGCAGCTCCAAAGCACTGCTCCACTGGCATGATGACCAGAACAGCACCACACCCTCTGTAGTGTTTCAGCTATGGCAGAGTTTCATGGGTGATGCCACCACTTCACTTTACGTATCACAACACACTTCGTTCAATGTTTCGACCTTCGTTAACCATTTCTGTTGTATTATTTCTTCGGGTTCTTCAGAGCTAGGTATCTTGAGTACTAGTACAGGTACAGGAGACACATTCGAGACTGTCGGGATATACTGGGGAGCGCACATATAATTACTCATAGCACCTGGATCCAGAATGAACATTTTGTTACTTATTTTTTCGGAGTTTTTTTTCGGCCATCTACCCTTGCCAATTTCAAGTGACAGCTGCCTCCAAGCACGGAATAATCTCAGCGTCGGTTTTCACAACTACCTTATATGAACGTTTGAACGCTCAAACACTCTCTTCTTCTGTCGAGCGTCTCAATCTTTCATAGACAAACTCACGATATCGATGTGGCAGCTTGTATTCCTCATGTATACATCACCGCGCACAGCACTTCGCCAGAAGAATGGACATGAATGGATGCAAAGGTTTTTGAGGACATACTGAGCCGAATTTCTGTGAGTATTGAACTCATACAATATGTATTAACAAGACTAATCGTTCCAGGTTCAAAATAATGCTCCCAGAGCAATGCGCCATCCTCCACTCTAAACTCTCCCCCAATTCTCCCCATTCGAATATATCCCCTTCCCATGGACCCTCTGAAGGCTCGACTCCTATGCCTCTATCCAGGTTCACGCCCTGCTGGGGGAATTTTGAGCGTACACACCGCAGAGAGGAGTTCGAGTTCATATCTCATTGGGAGATATTCAAGCCCTCCCAGCGCACACTGCCCGAGTCTTATACCATTCGGCACAGATGATGGTGATCTTTTTTCGCCCGATGTGTCGATGTTCGGCGAGACTGGGGTGTCAGGAAAGGTGTCCCGTCAGCTGGGTTTGAGGCCGGATCCGCCTGTCAAGAAGCAGATGAGGCTTTGGGGGGTAGGCAGTGAACTAGTGTTGCGAGACGTGATGTGCATAGCGGCATTGTCGGCCTAAGTATATACCATACACTTGAACACCTTAACGCCTTATCAACTCCATCCCCTAAAGTTTCACAACTCCTTCAACCCGAAGCACGCTATGCTGCCTGGTACTGACTGATATTCGTTGCTTGTCTTTAGTTGTTCCTAACCTTGGTTCCGCAGCTCACACATCCCCACCCAACTTTATCTTGCCCAGCCCTCTGTCGATCTGCATACGCCTTTGAAGTTCTACCTAGGAAGCTAACAATATTCTTTCCGTAAGGGAAAGGTGCCTTCACCCTGGTGATTTGAATGGGACAGGGAGAGGATGGGGCGACAAGGAATATAGTAAGGACATATATCGCGATGGTCGTTTGGATGGACCCTGTGTATGATTCATGGTGCGCCCTGCATTTTACTTATTGAACAGAAATTGTGAGCGTTGACATAATGGCTGTGATAGTGCTGTATCAACGTACTGCGATTCCCTTCGTATAATGCTCTCTTGCGCCTGATGATACCTGGTGCTTTGTAGAGCGGCCGGAATATAACCAGAGACTCGAGGGACAGCTTGGTAACATGCCAAACTGGTCTGATTGCACCTTTTTTGGCCCTGCGTAAGCGTTTGCACAGCAACTTTTCATTTATTCTTAGCTCTAACATATTATTATTTAGAATGTGTCCATTAGGCTGAGGCGTACGAGGCGACAGGTACCGAGGACTAGAAGGAGCAGGGTAATTGGGCAATGAGGGGTGTGGCTTGGAGATGTCGCAGAGGGGCATTAGTTAGGGATTGGTGAGTCATATTTGTACCCGCTATCTTTCTCATCTGATGCCATCTTAACAGAATGGGACCTTGTGAAGAGTTATTGTAGGAGCTGTTATGCCTGTGTTCTGGTCAACGAGACACTGAATGGCTTTACTCACGGAACTCCTGAATAGATGCAAGTACACCAGGAATACGACACGAAAAGCTCTCCGGTGTTTCCCATTCCTCAAACACTTCCTGTGCGTGAGACTGGTTTGCATCCGCAACCGAAAGTTTACTTTGGTTCAATTAAAGGTTTCTGGATTTCATGCCGCGATGCTTACTTCAACCAATCGAGGGCCTTGAGGTAGGGGCAACCATCATCATGCCAATTTTAGCGATACAAGCGCTGGAGGTGGTATATCTAGCACGAACACTATTGTTTCACGTTCACCAGGTTCACCACTTGCTTACACCTACCCCTTGAATATGACTGTAGTCTCAAACGATCCTATTTGGTGGCCATTGGTCAGTTCGGTCCAGCTGAACAGCTATTGGATAGGTTCGTGGAGTGTGTTGGTGATGTCCCGACCTTACCTTGACTGTGTTTTTGCAGTTGCCGCCTCGACTGTGGTGATATATGATTGGGGTGAGCAAGATAGTATTGAATATCGACTGATATGATTATAATATTTCCAGCAATGACCTTCATACAAGAGGTAGGTTGATGTCATTACTAGAGCACCCGTCTCGCTAAGAATGGCCTATCTAGATTGAACTGGTCTGGGTGGGTGGAGTCACATATCAGATCAACAGGATCATATAATTGATTTCGCGCAGAGGCAGCGCTTGTCTCTAATGACTGTTTTATACCTCGGTGTACGCAGTTTATATTAGAGGCGCAGTTCATCAGTCGTGCTGACTCCAAAACATTCTAGGTACGCTATACTGGAATACTATTTGCTGTGTATGTTTGCAATGCTAGTGTGGTAGTGCCGCGCTAATAAATCATCTCTTGCAATCAGTGCATGGATCCTCGGTATGTCTCATATACTGTGCATTAATATTTTCTGACTAGCATCATATAGGCAGCCTCCCGACAGTCTCGCAGACGGATGCAGTGAGTATTCTTTACCCATGCCTCCCATTCCAAATTAACTGTATGCATATGTAGGGGTGAGTGAGATCATGCAGATTGAACTTGCTTCGACATGACGACTGCAACAGATGTAAGTTTGTTTCGACTCTTTCATCCTATGAGGTGATCACTAATTGGGTTTGTCAAACTTTCAGGCACTATCTTGGTTAACGTAGTAGATTGGACGGGTGTGATCATAGCTGCCATGCTTGGTGGTGAGCTACTCGACTACAATACCACAGTGGTCTTGTCTTAACTAAAACATCATGCAAGCTATCATGATCACTCGGCTATACGCCATGTATCAAGGATCGAGAAAGATGCTCGTCTTTCTCATTGTAATCTTCCTGGCTATCAACATTGTCTGTGGAGTGCTCGCCGGGATGGGATTGAAATATGTAGCAGGGGGTAAGCTTTGCTCGTTGGTATAAAGAACATGGCTCACTCAACAAATACCAGAGGAGCTGATACTCTCCGGCGCCCATACGTGCACTTATTACTATGAGGAATATGTCCAGCTTCTGTTTTCGACGATCTGGATACTTAATGCTGTGTGGGAGTTCCTCGCACTCTTTCTTTCAATTTGGGTTGCTGTAAAACACTTCCGGGAACTGCGACTACTCCAAGTGGGACAATCAACAAGATCGACTGTCAAGGACTATTTCACAGTGTTGGTAAAATCTCATGCCCTTTACTTTGCAAGGTGAGCTTGCAATGTGAACGAAGTTATCTATTGCTGAAGCTCTGCACATGTTAGTTTTACTGCTGTTTCTTGCCTCCAGCTTGCCTATCTATCTCCAGCCCTCTTGGTGTGCCGAAATACTGCCTTCTGCGTGTGGTCATTGCTCATCATTATTATAGGACTCAAACTCCGTGGGAACTGTCATTTTTAGTGGCATTCTTCAAACTTTGTCGAACGTGCAGTTGTTTGTGCTGGGCCCACGTCTCATCCTTAGTGTTCGAGAATATCATGCTGAGCTCGTGACCGACTCCGACGCGGCAACACACATGACTTCGATTGCCTTCCAGGAGCGTGTACATGTGTCAACTAGTACTACTGTCTAGCACGAGAAATGCTTGCCGGGTGCTCTGCAGGGAGGAGATATTCGTTCCAGTTTTCATTGTAGTATTTATATAAATTAATTGGTGATCTGATTTACTTATATTCGAGGGACGAAGGCTTATATATGAAGAGAGAACAGTCTGTAGTCAAACCAATTGCTTGTTGTATCACTGCTGCCAACGGCGCACACTTGACAAGTTGAAATCATGCAGAATATCTCAGTCTCTTGGTGCTCGGTATATTATTGCAGGGGTATTCTGCATGCCCCGCAATCTATCTCCTCGAGAAATATATAGCAAGATAACATTGAAGAACCGCTGATATCTTGATGATATTTCTAGCGCTGACCTTCGGATAAGAGGTAGGTTGGTGCCATTACTAGAGCAGACGTCTCACTCAGAATATTTTAATAGGTTGCCAGTGAATTGGTCTGAGTAAGTAGAGTCGCAAAGGCTGGGCATGCACAGAACCCCGTATGTATTTTTCAAAATTGTGCTGTGACAATTAGGGTGAAGTTGCACCCTAACGGGCGATTGCCTGACACTATGCACCTCAAGGGGTGCGGCGTGGAGTGAGCGTGACACCGTAACCTCACTCTATACATGCGAGGACTTCAGAGCAGAAAACTCGTGCATTGTAGGAGACTGGTTACAAAGAAGTCCGCTCTATGACAGCGAGGTATGCGTTGGGGGGATCCTGCGTACTATGTATTGAATGCGACGTGCCCAGTAGGCTAGGAAATCCCAAAGAGAACTATCATCACTATGGGCCACCCGGGAACGCAACCTCGATTTACTTAGGCCCTGGCGCAGAACCTGGAATCGAGAAAAAACATCGTCCATGTTTGGACGTTGCGCTGGGTCTGGGTGCATCATGTCCGATAATAAACCACTCAGGAATTCTACGCCTGAGTAATTCTAGTGCGTCAAAATCAGAGTATGCAAGATAAGAAATTGATATTGCACTTTACGTCAAGAAATATCTCTTGGATAGCATGCCCAAGATACCAAACATCAGTTGGGAAAGGGTTCCGAGGTTTGTAGTTGTCTTCTTTGAACTCCGGCACTTCTTTATCTCCACCAAATATGGGTTGTTCCAATGGGTTGGTATTTGAGGCCTCATATTTGCGGGAGATACCAAAATCTATGTAGTAGTATCGTGGAGGAGACTGCGTGCGTGTACAATGCCGAGCCACGCGTTTGTAGTCCTCGGACATATAGTGGTCACTTGGATGCCATGCATCTATGAACATGCTGCCATCCATCAGTATGTTCATCTGCATGCAGTCCCTATGGCCCAGTCATGACACAAGTCATTCCATCAATTTAAATACGTACCGGTGAGCAACGTGATGTTTGTGCATGAAGCGCAGCCCCTTCAAAAGAAAGAAATAAGTTATAATGGGCCAGTCAATCAAGACCTTACCTCAAAAAGCTGGTGGATGCAATCTACAACTTCCCCGACCGTGTCAAAATAAGGATCCGAAGCATCTCGAAGCAACGGCATTACAACTATTGCAAGATCATCCTCGGTAGGCACCTCCAGAACATCGTAAATCGGCACGCAATGGTTGGCTGGATCACCGCTGAGAGGTGGGCTGCAGAAAAAGCGACCAATCTCTATCTCATAAGGGTGTCGCGATACGACTATAGTTTTCAGTGACACCCGAACGCCATCGCAAGTACGTTGGGCATCCAGCAGGCGGTAGTGCTGAATGACACATGACGATTTAGCAATACTGACATTAGGGAAGGGTATACAGCACCTACTGGCGACCTGACTCCATCCTCGCAATTTATGGGAGCGTTGTTTGTGTCCGTCCAAGAGGGCACCCAATCCGGACTGTAGCGACTCCGTAGCTTGTAGCCCTTTTCTTTGAGGAAATCGTAGTGGTCCCTCCACCAAATCTCATTTTCGGTAAGATGGGAATTAGCTGCAGATGTTGAGGCCATTCCCAAAAAGTTGGTTGAGGTGCCACACGACCGTCAATCTGGAGAACAAACATGGACCCTCATGGGTAAATAACGTTTCGGACCTCGGCAGTTCGCGGACTTGAGGCGCTTAAGCACAGTTAAGCACTTGTATATTTAAGTTACTTCTCGGTATCATATTCTGCAAAGTACCATGATAGGAAGCTTTCATCCGAATGATGGGGTTACATTTGGCTGACAAGGCTCAAGTGCCAAGTGAGTAGTCATTTTTGTCCACCTATCGTATATCAGCGGCCATCTTCGCGTAATCTTTCTGGGGAGCTACGTTTTGTCAGTGTTACATCAGGTTGTTGTCTCCTTACACTCAAGTTGGGCTTGTCCTCTTTGACTGATCTCACAAGTGTCTGTATATAACCAAGCCAGTTCAAGTTGGCGTGAAACTTTGCACTAGCTCCCGATCTATCATATGAATCCCCCGAGATCTAGCACGACAGTTCGAATAACCACGGACCTAGGTCTTGCGAGCCAATATACAAACTCGCCTGGGACCGTTATCGAGCTGAAAGGCCGGACAGCTGAAGAAAAAGGCGATCATTATCTTCAATTATCGCTGGCAGCCTTAAAAGAGCTCGCCGACTTGTTGGAAACCCCGCGTCTCTCAGATAATGACAAAAAGGCCTACCATGAAGCTTACATCATTAACCGGGCTCAATATGACGAGTAGGTTTTGCTTTCACCAGCCAGATGGTCTTGTTCATTTATCTACAGCCTGGTATGCCTCAGGGACCAACTTTGGGCGCAGAAGAAATCTTTTCGCAAATTCCTCGTTAACCTTTTCGTCCGCCGGTCGGATTCCAGGCACTTTTATAAAATCACGTATCGGAATTTTAAGGCTATCAAAGTCAGTCGACTAGTCGCATCTTATATTGCAGCTAAATAGCACCACAGAGAACTTCGGAAGACCTGGTTCGACGATTGCTGCCGGATACGCTTGATATCCTTGGTATGTCAGGACGAGAGAGCAATTTTCCCTGGCTGACGCCAATCTGTTGGTCGGCTTCAGGAAGCCCCAGAGACTCCGCACAAGGCGATGTTTCTGTTTGCGAGGAGAGTCCGTGTGACATCGTAGAGGGTACGCATACTCTCCGCATTTTATGGCAGAACATTCAACATTCCCTTGATCAAGGCAATATTTCAGGTTAGTGCGATTTCTTTTGTCTGCTCCTTATTTCACATAACGTGGAATAGTCAGAGATCTTCCTCCAAATGACACCCTCAGAGGCATTAATGTAGATGTACATACTGAACAAGAAGCCGACGAGGCCCTTGCGACGCTGAATCGAATCGCGATCTCTGGAGGAGAAGACGAAGATGACGATCGTACCAGTGTGCATTTAAGTTGTCGCCTATGATATCACCTAACAGAGTTTCTTGATATCTCAGTCAGAGCTCCGACACATAGCAGATCGCCGTCCCCAAGCCCGAGCTGCACAGTCATCTACAACTATAACATTTACAATCACAGCGTGGTGTCCATTGACTCAGAAATCACAGGATTAGCCCTCAACAGCGGGGTGAATGGAGGTAGGTCATGTTCGCTGCTCACGTCACCGCGCGATGTTTAATGATGATGATAGGGGTCGGCTCTGATATCAATCAATGATTCGCAAATTGTTCATTCATGTTTTGTGATCTGCAGTGCTGTATCAGTAATAATGTATCATCGATCGGTCTCGCATGGCCAGAAAGTTATGACAAATGTGGTGAGCTCTTGGATATCACCACGCACAGCACCCACCACAAGAATAAATGTGAATGGGTACATATGTTTTGAGGACATACTTAGTTGAATCTCTGTGAGTATTGAACTTATATAATGTGTATTAAGAAGACTAATCGTTCTAGGTTCGAAACAATGTTCCCAGAGCAATGCACCATCCTCCACTCTAAACTCTCCCCCTATTCTCTCTTTTCGGATGTGACTCCCCTTCTCATCGATCCTCGGCAGAGAAATCCCTCCATAATTCTCGTCCCCATTGTTCATAGTCCGCTACTGTGGTAACGATAAACGCTCCCGCCCGCTCGCCCGCTTTCCGCGTCCCCCTCCCAGGAAGAAGAAAAGGAGCAAGCAGCAAGCGTGGACGCAATGTAGGATAAGACGCTCCCACGCACGCTACCCTGGCAGATTAGCATGTTACGTGCGTGAAAGGGGGCAGATCAGTTGACGACTACAGTGCCGCAGACAGATACGAAAGCGCCTGCTGCAACTGCTAAGCTCATCGTCGGGGCACAATTATTCCCTGTCCCAGCTCCAATCCCGTGCCCAGTCAAATACATTAGCTTGGACTCGAGTGCGATACATATGCCCAGGAGCCCAGGCGCACCCCTGGCCGGGATATAGCTAGAGACTCAAGGGACAACTTGGGAACATGCCGAATGGTTGGTCCAACCGCACACTCTATGCCCCCCCCCCCCCCCCGAGACGTTTTCTTTTCATTGTTGCGGGTGAAATCTCAGTGCTGACGCTTTATAATTCAGAATACAGTCAAGGACTTCTAAGGCACACGAGGCGACAGATACCGAAGAAGCATAGTGTGATTATGTAATGAGGAGTCTGGTGAGTTATATTTGCACCCGCTATTTTCTCGTCTTACTTCTCCGGTGCCATGCCGACAGAATGGACTTTGTAAAGAGCTGCCACGCCCTTGGGTTCTGGCCAACAAGGTCGAGAGAGTACAGATGTAAATGTCAGCCTAGGCTGAGGGCGGTGACAGGCGGTGACAGGCGGTGACAATGATCACATCATGCTTTGGCCTTTGTTAGATCGATTACTACGTGGTTTTACTCACGGAAGTCCTGAATAGATGCAAGTGCAGCAAGAATACCTCGAGAATTTGGAAACGAGTCCTGTGCGTGAAACTGCTTTTCAGATCTCCAACCGAAATTTTACTTTAGTTCAATCGAGGACGTCTACTTTTGACTTGATTTCGTGCCATGGTGCTCACTTCGATCATGCCGATTTTAGTGACACAAGCGCTGGATGTGGTATATCTAGCATGAACGCTATTGTGACACATTCACCAAATTCACCACTCGCTTACATCTACCCATTGAATATGATTGTAGTCTCAAATGATCCCAGTTGGTGGCCGTTAATCAGTTCGGCTCGTCTCAACGGCCATTGGACAGGTTCGTGGAGAGTGTGTTGGTGATTTCCCGACCTAACCTACACTATGGTCTCGCAGTCGCCGCCTCGACTGTGGTGATATACGATTGGGGTGAGCAAGATAGTATTGAATATCAACTGATATCATTATAATATTTCCAGCAATGACCTTCGGACAAGAGGTAAGTCAATGCCATTACCAAAGCACCCATCTCGCTTAGAATTTTTTTGTAGGTTGAATTGATCTGGGTGAGTGGAGTCGCACATCAGAGGAACACACGATCAATTCGGAGCAGAGGCAACGCTGGTCCCTGATGACCGTTTTATACCTCGGCGTGCGTATAGCTTATATTAGAGGCGTCCTAGTTGGCAAGTTGCGCTCACTCCACAATATTCTAGATACGTTATATTGGAATACTTTATGTTGTGTATGTTTGCAAGGCTAGTGAGGTAGCGCTGCGCTAATAAACCATATCTCACAATCAGTGCAACGATTCTCGGTATGTGTCACATACTGTGCGTTGGTGTTTTCTGACCAGCGGCGGCATACAGAATACGGTGTGGCAGTCTCGGAAACAGATACAGTGGGTATTTAGTGCCCATGCCCCTTATTCCCATCCAATTGATTGCATTCATATGTAGGGGTGAGTGATTTCAAATTTTGAACGTTGGAGTTGACTCTACATAATGAATGCGACAGATGTGAGTCGGAGTGTTTTATCCTACGAGGCTGATCACTAATTGGGTGTTTCAGGCAATATTTTCAGCCACGCACTAAACTTGACAAATGTGGTCATAACTGCTATGCTGGGCGGTGAGCTACGCAGCTGCGATGTCTAAGTGACATTGACTCGACTGAAACACCATGCAAGTGATAGCAATTGCTCGGTTGTATGCGATGTATCAGAAATCGAGAAAGATGCTTATCTTTCTCATCGTAATCTTCGTTTCCGTCAACATCGCTTGCGCAGTGATTGTCGCGATAGGATTGAAGTATATCGTAGGGTGTATGCTTTACTCATTGGTTCGAAGAATATGGCTCATTGGACGGTTATTAGATGAGCTGATACTCTCTGGCACATATTCGTGCTATTTTGGATTTGAGGGAGATACCGGGCTTCTGATCACAATGGATTGGACACTCAGTACTATATGGGAACTCCTCGTACTGTTTCTTTCAGTCTGGATTGCTATAAAACACTTCCGTGACCTGCGGCAACTCGGACCATCGATAGGATCAACCATCGGAGACTGTTTCATAGTGCTGCTGAAATCTCACGTGCTTTACTTTGCAAGGTGAGTATGTAACGCGAACTCAGTTATCTTTTCCGCTGAAAATCCGTACGCGCTAGCTTTGCTGCTGTTGCTTGCCTGCAGCTTGGTAGTATCTCTCCGACCATCTTGGTACGCAGTTCAGTCACCAACCTCTGCAGCGGCTCACCATTTCTATAGAATTCGAGTACTGTGGGAGTTGAGATATATGATGGCCTTCTTCGGATTTTCTTGGACGTGCGATTGTTTGTGCTGGGACCACGCCTCATCCTCAGTGTCCGAGAATATCACGCTAAGCTCATGGCCGACTCTGACGCAGCAATGAGCATTAATTCGATGGTCTTCCAGGAGCCTGTACATGTGTCAACTAGCAGTACTGTCTAGCAGAGAAAATGCTTGCCGGGTGCTCCTGCAGGGAGGAGATGTTCATTCCAATTTTCATTGTGGTATTTATATAAATTAATTGGTGATATGATTTACTTATATATGAAGAGAGAACAGTCTATAGGCAAACCAGTGTCTTCTTTTATCACTACTGCCACTACTCGATATGTGGTTGTGTAATATCAAACAGACTTGTCTTGTCTGCATGCCTCTCCACGTTGAATAACAAGTACTCCCAATATTTAGGACTTCATTTTGTCTCTGCATCAAATGTCTCCTCTCAGCTGTCGAAGTCGTTTGAAGCCCTACATCCTTTTGGTTATGTGATGGTTATAAGATCGCGACCCCACAATAGAGCATCAGACGTCGACTGTTTAAGCTTGTCCGTCCGAAAAGCCAGCCTTAGGTTCAGTTCTACGGATATGGAGTCTGCAGAATGGCTTATCCAGTTCGCGGAGCAACACTACCCACAAACGTTGTACGATCTCAACGAGAAAGGCTACGAGCTCAACGTCATGATGCGAGCATATGAATACATTTCGACTGCGTCGGGCACCCGCAATTTGTGATGTAAACATAGCTTCAATCCCAAGGGTGGCTCGGTCCCTCCCCCTGTATGATGGTGATTACGATGACATACTCGACGACGACGAAATCGAGGCCATTCAGATTGACAAATGTCCTGTGCTCTCCGAGTGCTCAGATGACGAACAATCCTTCGAAAAGCGTCCTGTTCAGGAACAGGTGGACTACATGACAAAGTAGATCGGGCAGGGACCACAGTGGTGAGTGAGTTGTAGGACTTCATATGATTTAGCGGGAGTGTTAGAGAATAGTGACTTACTAGCAGACTGGTCCCGCGAGTACAGAATTGAACTCGATTGTGTTGAGCTGCCATTCGCTATGCACTGTTGTCAAGCGACAAGCGGACAAGCGGATTGATCGAACAATCGTTCCTTTCTTGCACTGGATGACACTGACCAACACATGTCAAGTCGAGGCCCATGGAAAACGTCTGACCATATCTGAGGATTTGAAGCGCTCGGAGGACTATGGCAAGGGTGCCTTTGCGGTACGAGAACGCTCGTATGGCAAGTTCTCTAGGACACTTCAGATTCATTGGGAAATCAAAGCGAGTACCACTCGTTGAAGTAACAGTGAATCTATATTAGGAGACGAGCATGAGCACTTAATCCGGACAATAATCAATGCATATCACTGCTCACAGCGACACCTCCACAATCAAGAAGTTTCATGTTACACAATCGTCCTCAGGTTGTCCCGGTTTCTCCTGCTTTGATCACGCCCTGATGATTATCAGTTGAGCTATTGCAGGTGGATGCACTATTGATAGTGACTCACCTGAAACTTGAGCTCGCTTTTACCACCACTAGTGCTGTGCCAAAACCTCTGCTGCTCTACCATCAACAACGCATCAGGAGTGGCAATAGTGGCGCATCTGAGACGTGAAACGAACTATATTTCTCCGTCGTGTTTCGAGTTTTAGATAGGGAAAAGATCTATGATGTGCCCATTTATTTATTTAGCGGTGAGCTTGTGGGTCAGTGATGCACCGCCACTGTAACTGCACGGCGCGCCTCAATCATCTTAGTCACCAGCCTGAGGAGCTACATAGTCCCTGGTTGAGTTATCGTCGCGTACCACGGAGCACCGACTTCCATTGTGGGACCACTGCTGTTTAGTCCTTTCATGCTGTTATGTATCAGCAATAGTTTAAACGAGTGATGCCTTCAGGGCGATTCGGGCCCGCCTCATATTTCTTGTACAGCCTGAGCGGGCATCCATCGAACATACTGGGGCGAACTTTATTCTGAACAAACATGAGATACAAGAAGAAACCTATCACCAGAGTCTGGCCAGTCCTATCATAGCGCCACTGCTCTCATTCATGCGCCTCAACATCATCAACAAGAAATTCAAGTAACGTACGTCAGGGAAATATGCTGATACTAGTACTAGTAGAACCGTGATCTTTCGAGGGAAGTTAATTTGACGTGGCATAGGTATACTCGGTCGTGGCGAAGCCGACTTGGGAGTTCGTCGTGTCGTACACCGAATAAAAACGCTCTCTGTGGAAGAACAATTTAGTGACGTATTTCCCCAGAAAACAAAGTAGCGTGGCGTACAGGAAACAGTAGCCGTTGATAAAGTCCAAGCCGGAACCAGAGTTACTTCCTATGTCAGCAACGACCAGATATATGCCGTCGGTGGTACCGCCAATGTCGGTGTTCAACGACCGAGGCCAGATTTGCCCATTCGGGGTTAGCTCATAAATAACACCACCAATAGTGAAATGGAGGGATGAGAGCTGCTTGTATTGGTCGAGTGAGATTTTTAATAAGCCGGTGGCCTCATCGGGGGTTCCTCCCGTCGCAGACTGATATTCACGGAAGGCATCTGAACTGTGGATTAGAAGAGTTTCAATGTCGCACAGGAAACCTACCAGTGGCAATGAGAATGAGAGTGGTTCCGGTGTCAACGATACCAGCGGTCTCGGTCAAGATGGACGTAGTCCCATAGGCAATGGATTGATCAATACCCCAAAATCCACTCGCTGGGAATGTTGACGTGATCGGCACATAGTTGATGCTTCCATTAATTTTGGAGGCGTCATAACCGCCAAATGTGAGCTCGCCGTTGCTATCAGAAGAAGAAGCAGGTGCGAAGAACACCCCGAGTACTTCCGAACCAATTGTTCCCTGCGTATAAAGGTTGTCCGTCACAGTTGGAACTTCATATTCATTACTGATGGTGTTCTGCGTTAAGTCGGCTGGCCCAAGGCCAAGAAGTCCATCCAGACCATTGAACCCCGAGGTATCAATTGCGACACCAATAGATTGTTTCTCGATGACCAGATCAGAGTTGAGCGTTACGGTGTCCGTGTATTCCTCTCCAGCAACAAGACTTCCGTCGCCGTATTCAACGCCCTGAAAACGGGTTGACATTATGAATGTGCCACGTAGAAACAAATACTCACAAATAAACCGCCTGTGAATCGGCTCGTAGAAGTCTTCTCGTAAGTTTTGTTGGCCCCGATCCAGGTATTTGAGCTTCCAGTGTCTATCAAGAGTGTGTCTGTATGAAATAGACAATGCGTCAAGTAAAGAAATTGCTGGAACGCGAGCAACTTACAGTACGTTGCTGGACTCCCCACACCAACATCAGCGGTGTATATTGTCACAGCATTGGTTGTACTGATGGAAGAACTGCCGCTAGCCTGTAAAGCTTGGAATCGAGCGCGATCTGCGGCGGCGATGTTCTTGATCCCATTCGAGTTGATTCTAACGGCGAGCTTGAGAGGAGCAGTGCTCGACGTCGTCCGGGGATGAGCCAAAGCACTCGCTGATAGCGAGAGCAAGGCAAGCGCCGGCAGGGTAAGAAGAGATGAAAGAGATTTAGAGGGAACCATCTTTCTGAGCCATCGTTCCGCGCTGGGCTTTTTAAACATTAGAACGTTCTTCAGATAACATCGCGATATCAAGGCTTCGAAGTAAACTCGAAGTGTGACTGGCCCATCTGACAGTCCAAAATCCAGAAATGAGCCGGATACCATATAGCTAGAATCGGTACGCGCACCTTTTTGGTCGTTATAACACCCGATTTGAGTCGGCTGCTGCGCTCATAACAAATTGTGCGACAGATGTATTATCTCGCTGTAGATATTAGGGGGGCTCAGATACACAAATTCCTATAGTCCGCAGGTGTCTGCCTTGCCTGGTCTTTGTTCGATGGCATCGCGCCTACTCCTTGATAGCTGGGCCTGGATCGCGAGATGCATTTGACTTGACATGTCCTATCGTTAGTTGACTTGGGTTGATTGCTAAACCCAAGTGCCTTTTACACTGTAAACGGTTAGATCCTCACTCTATCTGCTATTCCACACCTGAATCAGACTCCACTAGGTATAACGAATCAGCATACGTCATGACAGTAATGCCAAATAACTGTCACAAGTTGATGTGGCCATCTTCCCTATGCGCACAGGAATGCCAGCAAACTTGGCACTTCATACATCCACCGGCGCGGTAGTCGCCTTACCCTGAACAGGCCCTGAGCACCCATGGAACAGTAATTGTACAGTCGAGAAGGCTTCGAGTGTTTGTGTTGAAGCGAGCTCTTGCGGACGAGAATGAGTGTGTGGTGCTGTCAAGAGTCCAAGTCGTCTCGTTAAATTCGATGAGGTCAGTAATGCACCGCCACTGTAGCAAAGCGCCTTGATCATCTTGGTCCCTAGGCGCTAGTCCCTCGCCACGATTGAGTTATAGCATGATCGTCGTGTCCCTCGAAACACTGACTTCCAATGGCACCACGCGTTTAGTCCTAAGTAATGCTTTTATTCCCCTATGTAGTATCAGTAAGAATCGTATAAACAAGAGATGCCTTCAGGACGAATTGGTCGCTCCCTCGTCGATCGCCGTGAGTGACGAAAGGCCTTTCAATTATTATGTCCAGATAATGGAGGGACTTTCGTCACTCCCACCACATATGACAGTTCACATGGGTCACTGGATTTTACCAATGCTCTCAGTACAAAGATGCTGTAAGGTTTTCTTCAGCGCTTCATATCCATCTGCAGCAGAAAAGTTGTTGCACGTACACAATCGTTATTGTCACATTCTTTTCCTCGCTTCGAAGATCGGTCAGGTGCTGATATTTATTAGTTGGGGCAACAATTTGACCCCGCCATCACCAGTCGCGCGAAACGCTGCGGGCTCGAACACAAGTGGTAGCGTTGATCTGAATATTCAGCGTTATAGAGAGCTAACAAAAATCACCAATATTAATGCCATGTGAGACCATTAAAAGAATAGTAGGAAGCGGCACGATATGTTGACAACGATTTTGTAGTCAATCCTATCTGCCGCGTTCTAGTCGCAACCCAGTGAATTCCTTGCAGACGTGAAAATGAACTCTCGCGGGATGATGAGTGTGTGAAACCAAGAGACCAAATCCAAATTCAAATTCGACCCAAAATGGGTTACCATGGCTGCACCGCCACGCTCTTCGGCGTTCGCGCTTCTTGGTCACTAACCCCAACCGCAGCTTTCATGACAGAGCGCGCCGATACCCTCCATGCATCAAGAGCAGACGTCTGGTACCTCAAGGAAATCGCGTTTGGAAGCGCGGAAACAAAGCGTAGATTAAAGATCATTACGCAGAATTTTAATGGGTGCGCATGTTATTGTACTGCGGCATGTGTTTTAGGCTCAACGTACTTATTACTTACCACACCACCATATAAATTGGCGCTCCTCAGGCCGTGTTCGTTCATTGCTATTTGTGAGTGTCCCGGTACTCTGACGGGAGATCGACGCTGATGTAGCGCGTTGGAATGTGTAGGCAATATTTTGATCCTGCGAGGAGAGATCGAAGTCCTGCCGTATGAGCGCGGGACGGTCTCATATGAGTTCCTTGCGCAGCTCCTGGGGGAATATCTCCTCATGAGCTGTCCGGATATTGATGTCTCTGCTGCGCTCTCGATCATGCCTAGTACCACCAGTACGCATTCACTTCTTTCTCATTCGTCATTAGTGAGACAGCTTATATTGTAATAGAGGGCCTCGACCTCAACCCTGTCTTCACAGGGGCTACGTCATTTCGACCTGCAGGAGAAGGTGGGGAGTTGATGCTGTTCGAGCAGGCAGGGATAGAGCTCGTGCATGGGTGGCTTGTTGACCCTGGGAGTGAGGAGAACAGAGTGTTACAGCATGTGCGTGATTATGATACTGCTGTGACGCTTATTGCGGACGCGGATCATATCACGAGGGGACGGTTATTGAGTGTGGATGTGTGGGGTGAAGGGGAAGCGGGGGGTAGTAGTCAGGCGGGGAGCGGGCCGAGCGGCTATGCGGGCCCGAATAGTCCAAGCGATAATTATTCAGAGAAGGATAGAGAGAAGATCGAACATGGTGTGTATTAATTTGTTATGCGAGATTTATTGCTGATGGATTTGTAGCGCTGGTGGCACAGGCGTTCTTGGAGAGTACCAAGTCTCAATTGACGTACCATGGGCTGTTCCAGCTTGCGTCTACGTTACAGCCTGGGTCGCTTGTCGCATTGTTCCGAAACTCACACCTCTCTGTGCTGCATAAACGAGAGGGGGAGGACTCGTCGCTTTACAGTTTGGTCACGGATCATGTGTTCCTGCAAGAGTCGTCGGTGGTGTGGGAGCGACTAGAAGACGTCGATGGGGTTGGCTCGACGTTTGTGGACTCGGATTTTGTTCATTCGACGCCTGCGGGAGGCGACTTTGCTGGACACACGGCGGAAAGCGCATTGCATGCTCTAGAGATGGAATCAAACCCAGAGTAAGATTTATGTGATTTTATCCGAGATGAATTACTGAGATGTGCATTGTACAGTGCGGTACTAGCACGACAACTACAAGCGGAAGAAGACGCACGATCGCATGAGATATATATGCGGAGACAGAGGCAACAGGAGATTCGGCAGAGGGAAGAGGAGGAGCGGAAACGGAAGAACGAGGATGGGGCTAGTAGGAAAAGTAAGAAAATGAAAGACAAGTGCGTTATAATGTAGGTATACCTGCATATTCATTGGAATATTATTGGATATAATCTTAATCTTGTCATAACGGATCCGCGCGTGTGAGTGAGACACGATTGCAACCAGAATTATAATCACTGATTCAATATCAAAATCATGATGTGGAATGGGACTGCAACGAACAATGCCACAAGAACAACAAATACAAACAAGGAACGTCTCAGTCATCGTCCGCCTGTGCAGTGCAACCACAAACCCCATCCACTCATCCCTTCATTCCTTTCTTATATCCCTCGAACTCATCGCCGAACACAGCGAGCACGAACAAAGTATTCATCAACTTGTTCCGATTCATCACTTTCAACATCATTCACGACATCATTCGTCGTTGTCGACTCGCACGTCATGCGTGAATCAAATCATGCTTTTCCCGCTCAGAATAGGGCTTGCGTTTGCATCACCTCCCAATGCTACGATAGGCGAGGTAAGTTCAAATCATTTCTATATGCTTTATATGTGTTAAATTTGATTCATCCTTCAGGTCTCGATACATCTTCGCCACTCCCGCTATTCACCTCCTTACACCATCTCACATATCTAACTTCAACTTCAGCCCGAATACGCGAGATCATGACAATGGACGGCGCAATCGAGCGTCTCATGCGCATTCTTTATGACTACTGCTTATGTCCCCCTCCCCCAGAGAACCCTGGTTACATCTACGGTCTTTCTCCTCCAAACTCACGCCCTCCAAAGCTCATCCCCACAATCAACCCTCAAAATTACGATAAGCACGCCGCCTATCGATTTAGCTTGGCTCTTCAGAGTATCGTTAATATCGGTATAAGAGGCAGCGAGCCAATCCGGAGTCGCATCGTCCAGGCTGGCGCCCTTGAAGTAGTCGGTTGTATCCTCGAGTCATGGCTAGCTCATAAGGGGTTTGCCATCGGTCCAAGTTCAAGTGCATCCGGTTTACCTCGTGAATCTCGCGAGCAACGCCTCGCCCGTCGGACCGCACTCCACGAACAAAGACAGCGAGAAGAAGCCGCCCAGCTCCACCGCGCACTCCAACGTCAAATCGCTGCTGATGCGGTTAACCGCACGGAATTCATTACATCCCGTATCGATCCAATCCAAGATGTCCGTTTTTCTATTGCGTGTCATCTCCTTACTTATACCTCTTCAGGATGCATCAATGGCGGATATCGGTACCGAGCCTTCCTATTCCGACATTTCTGTGCATCTAGACCAAACACCTGCCCCTGTTCAAGTGCAAGTAACCTCCCGCGAACGACCTTACTACACCCGTCACTCCTCATCCTCATCTCATGAGGCAGATACTTCTGCCGAAACGTCTGCTAATCCCACACCTCAAGGTACAGATACACCTACTGTAACTGTTCTGGTCAATGCTCGTGAGCGCAGTGGAACCATTGTTGCCCGCCGTGTTTGGGATGATCCTGTAATCGCGCCTGCCACAATACGTGCAAGACCTCATCGCGTCCGCCCTACTACCGCATCGCCTGACGAATCGACCGACAACTCAAGACCTGAGACTGAAACTGAGGATGATGGTGATGCAGATGTCGATATGTCGCAGGACACTGATGACGGTGCAGCTCCCTCTGTCTCGGCACCCCGTGTACGCCAGCCTTCACGATCGATGACGCTCACTCAGCGTCCACGCCGTGCTGTGGGTATAGTCTCAGACGCCGCCCCAGGACCTGCACCTCTCCAAGTGAATACGGATGCGCATATTATCATTCACCATGAGCAGGGCGGGGATGGGATGGCAGTGGGCGTGGAGGACGGTATTGTATCGCTGGAGCCGAATGATGATTTTGCTATGGGTGCGCCACCTGGTGCACCAGGAGCCTTGGACGAGACGATTCCTGCACGAGGTCTCCGTGGAGTTGATGTCCCTTTGGCTGAGCGGAGGGTTCGCGCTGCCCCAGATGCAACGCCCCGCGCTACGGCTGTTCCCCTCCCTGCAGCCCCTCCTATGGCGAATATCCCGCACAGTGAGGAACCTGCCCGAGAAGGCGCAGCTGCCAATCGTGGCGAGCACCCTACCCCGACTGCCACCATGAACACAGTGCGCACCTCGAGCCATCACCACCACCACCGCGATCCCGACCAAGGTCCGTTCAGAGACGAGGACGTGCTCTTTAGTCTCCAACTCCTCGCGTATCTCAGCAAGTACCCGCATGTGCGGCAGGCATTTTATAAGCAACGCCCATCATTCCATCCTGCGGCTGCTAATCTTAGTCCTCGTCCTCAACAGCAGCCTATTGCTGGACCCAGCGGGACGCGGAATATCCCCGCTCCTGTGCCTGCCCCTTCGCCTACGCCTCCGGTGAAAGAACAATATGGGTTCCTCCGCGCGTTTGCATCTGCTACTGCGCGGGGCAAGGAGAAGGAGAAAGCGCCGCTTACTACCCCGGTGCAACCCCAACGAATGACGAATGTCTTTTCTCTGGTAGAGCGGTTTACGTTCCGCCCTAGCTTGACAGAGAGCGAGCTGCCCAACCCGCCACCTAAGCTTCCTCCGGAAATTGCGTACTGGGCAGGTGTGATCATGCGAAATGCGTGTCGGAAGGATGATAGTCGTGGTGGAATACGGCAATGTGCGAACAGTGAGTTATTAATTTCCTACCACAGAATGAATGGATCGGTGTTAATGACGTGTAGTGCTGTGTGGGCGCTGGGAGACCTATCCGCGAGAGTTTGCAAAATGCAGACGATGCCGAAAAGCGAAATATTGTGGCAAGGAATGTCAGAGCACGGCATGGAGCGAAGGACACCGGTTTTGGTGTAGTGTGAAGGAGGGAGATGAAGCTGAGGAGCCTACGGAGCATCTTCACGGTACGGAGCATGGTCATGGGGATGGTGGGGATGGGGAGACGCCTGCGGCTGTCGCTGCTTCTGAAGCTGCGCAAGCGCGCGCGGAGAGACGAGCTGAGAGGGAACGACAATTGCGGGAGCGGGAGCGGATGGGAGGAACGATTGCTGCTAATCATATCGCCCCGCAACATCTGTTGATGCCGCCTGTGAATCCTCCACCTGTTGCGGCGCAATTGACTGTTCGACCTCGTGGAGCCGTTCTTCCTCCTGCCAACCAGCCTCAGGCTGTTATTCCTCAACCACGACGAGGGAGTCCATCGGGCTCTGGTTTTGGGACGATACAAAATCGAAGGAGGGCGGAGACTGTATCTGGGGTTGTGGATACGGGCGTGATTCGGGAGACGAGGATGATGCTTGTGCAGAATGGGTGGCAGCCGCCTCCGAGGCGACGGGGTGGGGATGATGGGGGGCGTGGGCAGGAGATGTGGGATTTGACGCCTCCTGGTGGCGATGATATGGTTCTTGGGTGAAGGGCACGATGCACGACTCGCGGACGTTTGCACGTTTACATGTACGTGTGCGTGCGTTACTTTTTCTACACAAGCGTTATTCCCTCCTTACATTCGCACCCTACAACGCGCCTGCCTACAATGCGTATTACTCGTCATATAAATGCGTCCGTCTTTTTTTTTGTCTTTCATTAGTGCATACATATATACATACATACATATACATACCTGCATCACGAGCACTACCCAACTATGACTCCGGTGATTGTCATGATCAATGTTTTAACAAGGTATTTTCCATTTGTTGTTTTTGGTACCTATTATTTTATTTTTTTGCTTGGCATCACATCGTGTTGTAGAGTTGTCACATTACTAGACATTGTATGCTTTTTTGGAGGCCTTGGAGGGCGCTTCATGATCATCGTCATTAGACTGTAAATTTTTTCGCGAGTGTGTTTGAGGTGAAGGAGAAATTATTTCCAAGTGTTTCGGCCAAGAACGCGTCGCGTCCATAACTTAGACCACGTGCTGGTGAGAAGATATTTGCCTGGACCAAATAAAACGGCCAAAAAGTCGGGAAAGTTCTGTGCGCAACTTTTTTCTTTAGCTTTGCCCATTCGCCTTGTCTCCAGCTTTCTATCTAAATCATGGTAAGTGAGCGAGTCTATGCGGCCAGTAACACTGACGATGAGAATGCAGGCTGCCCAGGCTACGTTCAAGACCATCAAAGCTGTCATTCCTCTGCTCGACCGTGTTTTGGTCCAGCGGTTCAAGCCTGAGACTGTGCGTAATTGAATAGTTATGACGTGTGTTATACCTAATGTTGTACTTGTGCGCTGTGGTGGAGTAGAAAACAGCCTCTGGGATATTCCTTCCCTCGTCATCGACGACTACGCCTTTACCCGAAGCTACTGTGATTGCCGTTGGCCCTGGAGCACCTAATAAGGATGGAAACGTCGTTCCCACTCAAGTCAAGGCTGGGGATCGAGTATTGCTCCCCGGGTGGGGAGGGAATTCGATTAAAGTAGGAGATGAGGTTGGTTCTTATTTCGTATGGAGTCTAGGGCTTTTAGCTGATTGGGATTTTACAGGAATACTTTTTGTTCAAGGATGCAGAGATCCTTGCAAAGATCCAGGAGTGATTGGGAATTGGGGACACGCGCCAGCATCATCTTATACGTTAATTTTTTTTTTATATGGTCTTGTTTTCACGCACTATCCGCAATATATCTGCAATGCATGCCCCGCTCAATCTGCCGAGGTGATTGTGAAATATGGAAAGGGGGAGTTTTTGCGGTAATGGACATGATAGGTGGGGTTTGGGAGTTTCCTGCAAGTAGGGACGATGGGGGCATGCGCTGTGTGCGTGGTTGGGATTTTATATATGAAAGTAAGGTTCTACGCTTCCTTGTGCAGCATGGCCGACGAGTGCAATGTAATTATGTGAGGCTAGTGCTGGCCAGTGCTGGCTAGTTTGCAGCTAGTTGCATTGCCGTGCTCATAGCCGCGGGGGTCATAGCCTAAGCTTGATACGGTGTAGACCTGTTTCCTCGACTAGGTTACACTGATTAAGCTTATATTTACGCTGACTGAGACCGGGAACGATTTGCGTGATGATTTTTAGTAGTGAAATGCGTCCCTGCCGGACACCTACACGGCTCTTGCGGCTCATGCGGCCCAATTAGGGTTTTCACTAGCGCCTTTGGCAGGGGTTGCGATAAACACGCTTAGTAGCATTCCTGTTGCACCTCGGTCTCCATTCCGGTGATGCATCCTATAAAACCCAGATGTCAACCGCTCCATCACCACGTTAGGCTCTTGCATTCCCGTCCCTCCCCTGCACCGTTCAACCTTCAGGGAATCACGAAAAGTAATGTCCAAGGAGCAACATCTGACCACTCCTGCTGGTAAGGAGCTCGGTCGTTCACTAACTGACCTCGAGCCCGCCAAGCACCATGGCCCACCACGCAGTCTTTTGCGTTCCGTTTTTATAGTCGCCACTTGCACCGCCGCAATGGTGGTTAATGTGAGTCTCCACCATACCCCCTCTCGCAGATCCTTTGTGACATCTTTTTTTCATTGTAGATATCTAACTCTACTTCTGTATCTATTTCACTTCCAACCATTGAGAAGGATCTAGATATCGAGGAACAACAACTCCAGTGGCTCGTATCTGCATATTCTCTCAGTTCCGTGAGTTCATCTCCTTCTTTGTTGTCTAACCTTCATCATAGCTCACTTCACGTCAGGGTTGTCTTCTCTTGTTCTTTGGCAGATTGGCGGATCTTTATGGACGGAAAAAAGCCTTTATGCTCGGTACTCTTTGCCAGATTGCATTTTCTCTTGGTTGTGGCTTTGCACAAGGTGGGCGTGCCCCTTAATCTTTCTCATGTTCCGTCCGTTAACATTGCAATGACAGATGGTCTGACTCTCGCCGTATTACGTGGCTTCCAAGGTGTCGGAGGTGCTGCCACGATACCTTCTGCAGTGAGTAATTTGTTGCTGTTCAAAGCAAAATTATTCATCACTTTCTCAGCTCGGTATCCTAGCACATGCATTCCCTCCGTCTAGAGCACGTTCGATAGCATTCGCAACATTTGCGGCCGGCGCTCCTGTCGGTGGCGCATTCGGCATGATCATCGGCGGTGTCCTGACTCAAATTTCCTCGTGCGTCATGATACATGATTATTGATACATGATGCAGTATTCTCACGATGTCACGGCAGATCGCACTGGCGCTCCGTATTCTACATGGCTGCAGCGACTTCGGCTCTGATAGGCATTTCCGGACTAATTTCATTCGACGCCGATGTTCCATCGTCGGAAATAATTAAACGTGTTGACTGGATCGGCGCCTCGCTTGTCACTATCGGCTTGGTTTTGATTGTGTTCGTGCTTGGTCAGGGAGAAATTGCTTCAGATGGCTGGAAAACTCCTTGTAAGCACGCCACCGTAGCTTACCGATCATGACTAAAATCATTAACAGATATCATCGTGCTCCTTATTCTCGGCGTTATCATGGTTGCGCTATTCCTGGTATGGGAGCGGCACCTGGAACGGATTATCGACGAAGACCCAACGAAAGCGGCATCGATGTGGACACCGCCACCGCTCATGAAACTCTCTCTCTGGGCGCGGGCAAAGGGCCGGATGGCCGTTATCCTTGCCATCGCATTTTTGAATTGGAGTGCTTTCATTAGCTGGAGCTTCTGGGTTCAGGTACATCCATCTTCCGTTGCCAGACAGGAACGATGACGCTGACATATGGGTCCGTTCTAGCTGTACTATCAGAACTACCTGTTGCTCACACCGGTAGAAACCATGATCCGATTCATTCCCATGTTCATCGTTGGGTGTTTGTGTAACTTTTTCGTAGCGATGGTCGTTGCCAAATTGCCCTTGGTCATCTTTGCCCGTAAGGTTTCATGTGTGGCGTATTAATATGTGAAACTGACTCGTGATCCAGTTAGCGGAACCCTTCTGACTGCGACTGCCGCCATCTTATTTGCGCTGATTGACCCCACTGCAACTTACTGGGCCTTCGGCTTCCCGTCCACGGTTCTCATCGTGTTCGGCGCTGATTTCGTATACTCTTCCGGTACGATTTTCATCGCCAAAACCTCGTTGCCACATGAACACAGCGTCGCCGGAGCACTGTTCCAGACTATGACACAGGCAAGTTCCGGTCAATCAACTAACGCTGTCTTGTTCCAAGCTAACATGTTTTTGGGATAGATCGGAACTGCATTCGGTCTTACTATCTCCACGATCGTGTTCAACACCGTAGTTGACAAGGAATCTGCCAAGCTCGGTGTCACTGTCAACTCTAGTGGCACTAATGCGCCTATGTCTGCACAGCTCGTAGGGTACAAAGATGCGCAATGGACTTCTGCCGCGTTTGCTCTTATGGGTGAGAACTGCGCATTTGGCTTATCGAGAGCGCGTTATTCACGATTTTTTTTTGTTTTATAGCTGCGTTGTTGGCTGCACTTTTCCTCCGTAGTGTTGGGATCGTGGGACACCAGAGGGTCATCAGGCATGTTGACTCTGATCAGACTATGGCTGTACACCCTGGGTCTAGTCAAACTGAGTTACCGGCTATGCCCAACCCCAACTAAGCAAGAGATCGATATCCTATACCTAGCATGGACGACGGACGCTACTCATGCCATCACGGACTCCTATATGCCCCATTGCATTTATTCAAATCTCATTGCACCGCACCGCACTCCACTCGTTCCAGACTCCACAGGAACCCACAAACCCAATTCAACATTACCATTAATCGTATAACCAAGAGTTCCTCCTCTCCTTATGTAGTCAATAGCTATAGTTACGGTACCCGCGCACGCTGTCATTGTTGACTCTTTCATTGCATGTTCTTGTTTCTTTCTGTTGTTTTTTTTTCTTTTACCCGTAGAGCGTTAGCGTTACCCTCCCTTAAGTTGGGCCTTGTGTGCGTGACATGTAGTGTAGTGATGTCGCGATGATCATAACTTATTGATCCTTTTTCTGATTTGCAGCTATTTTTCGAAATTCGAACTTGACGGAACTTTTGCTTCGTTTTATTCTTAGATAGCGTTATCATAAAACGTTTGAGGTGGCTTGTAGGTTGTTCCCATGTGTACAGTATACTGGCCTTGGGCTCATTCTGCTTTCTGGCTTCCTCGACATTTAAAAGAATTAGAAGTCGAGGTGGCTAGAATGCAGGGTGGGCGCTTCGATTCGATTCGATTCGTTGTGGTGAATTGGCGTCGTAATGACAGCGTTGGTGCATGATGTTGCATGATACGGGCTCATTCTGCTTTCCAGCATCTTCAACATCTTTAGAATTAGAAGTTGAGGAGGCTAGAAAGCGGGATGGGTGCTTCGATTCGATTCAGTTCGGCGTACAATCGATCGTGGTGTCAGGAATCAGGACGGTATTTGGCAGATCTTTTAGGGTAGTTGGCGTGGAATGGATGGATTTAGATTTGGATGTTACTTACGGGAAGGTTCAAGATGAAGAAGGGATGACTATCTCTCTTCTGTATCTAGTCTTTGGACGAGATCGCTGTCGTTCAACGAATGTTGAACCTCGATGGGATGTCGAGCATCGTGGTCTTCCGTTTACGTGCCTCGGATTGCCGCAGTGCTTCTTGCTACTGACAGAGCTGTAAGACTTTTCTATGGCTCCGTAAGATTGGTATACCCTCTTAGAATTGGGTTGGAATAATGTACATGGCCGACAATTGCAATATACAATTGAGTGAGCTGATGATGGTTCGTGGATCGATAAACTGTTTGAGGAATTTATAAATATACCAATTATGTCATCGGTTCCACGGGACTGCTGACCCGACGCACACATAAGAGGAGAAGTTCATTACAATATAATATGGCTTGTTCGGTTGCGGCCATGATGAATCCTATAATAAATAGAGCTGGCGTTCTGCTGGTTATTTCTTTATTGCCACGTCCTTGCATTAACGCCCTCCTTGAGTCCTGTACCGCCAATTTTTCAGGAAACACGAGAAGTAATGTCCAAGGAGCTGGAGTCTAGCCAGGCCACTCAGGATCTCAACCTCGAGAAGACTCAGCACCATGTCGTCCAGCGCAGTCATTGGCGCTCCGTCTGCATCATTGCGACATGCACTGCTGCAATGGCGGTCAATGTATGTCCTCATCGTAATAATGTTCTGCGACAGTTTTGTGACATCTTTATCAATTACAGACCACTAATTCCAGTTCTATCTCTATATCGCTCCCAACTATTGAAAAGGACTTAAATATGAAGGAAGAAGAGCTGCAGTGGCTCGTATCTGCATATTCGCTCAGCTCGGTGCGCCTTCGTTTCGCTTCATCTTTCTGCGTTCCGGCTCACTTTCCACCTTAGGGCTGCCTTCTCTTGTTCTTTGGCAGGCTGGCGGATATCTATGGTCGAAAAACGGCGTTCATGATCGGTACGATCTGTCAGGTTGCATTTTCTCTTGGTTGTAGTTTTGCACAGAGTGAGTGAGCCTTTCCCTTGTCCGCCAGTTCCGTCCATTCACAGTGTCGTCACAGATGGTACCACCCTCGTCGTTTTGCGCGCCTTTCAAGGCCTTGGTGCCGCCGCTACAATTCCGTCTGCAGTGAGTATCTTGTCTACTCTGTGAACCGAAAGTTCTCATGCAGTGTTTTTGTCAGCTCGGTATCCTGGCACATGCGTTCCCTCCATCTAGGATGCGTTCAATAGCATTTGCAACTTTTGCAGCGGGTGCTCCTGTGGGCGGCGCATTTGGTATGATCATCGGCGGTGTTCTTACACAACTGTCCTCGTGCGTCATAAATTATGTATGCGCGACGGTGTATTTTTTATATTCTCATGCAGGACCCATTGGCGGTCCACATTCTATTTGGTTGCAGCGATGTCTGCTCTAGCTGGTGTTTCCGGTATGATTTCGTTCGATGCCGATGTTACCTCGATCGAAGCTGTCGACTGGATCGGCGCCTCCCTCGTCACCATTGGTTTGGTCCTGATTGTATTTGTACTTGGTCAAGGGGAAGTTGCTTCTCAAGGCTGGAAAACTCCGTGTAAGAGGACCTCGTCTGTACCATATATTTGCGTTATCGCTAAATTACGCGATTATCGCCAGATATTATTGCGCTTCTAATCGTCGGCGTTTTCATGGTCTCGCTGTTCTTGCTTTGGGAGCGATACTTGGAGCAAATTAGTGATGATCCATCAATGACACCGTCCGCATGGACGCCACCGCCATTGATGAGACTCTCACTTTGGACACGAGCCAAGGGCCGGATGGCCATTATCCTTGTGATCGCATTCTTAAATTGGAGTGCCTTCATTAGCTGGAGCTTCTGGGTTCAGGTACGTCCACGTTCCGTTCCTCGGCAGGCACGATGTCACTGACTATGTTCCGTCCTAGCTGTATTACCAGAACTACCTGTTGCTCACACCGATACAAACGATGATCCGGTTCATTCCATTGTTCGTTGTCGGCTGTTTGTGCAACGTTTTTGTTGCAATGTTTGTTGGCAAATTGCCTTTGGTCGTCTTTGCAGGTACGACTCTATGCGAGGAATATTATTACACGTGGGGGCTGACTCGTGTTTCAGTCAGTGGAACGCTAGTGACAGCACTGGCCGCCATCCTCTTTGCGTTGATTGATCCGTCTGCGACGTATTGGGCCTTTGGCTTCCCGTCCACGGTTCTCGTCGTGTTCGGCGCTGATTTTGTGTTTTCCTCTGGCACAATTTTCATCGCCAAAAATGCGCTTCCACACGAGCGCAGCGTGGCCGGAGCGCTGTTTCAAACTATGACGCAGGTAAGTGGCGATGCAACATCCGCGGCTATCCTGTTGTAAGATCAATTTCTTTGGGATAGGTTGGCACTGCAGTCGGTCTCACTGTATCTACGCTTGTGTTTAACATCGTGGTCAAAAACGAGGCTGCTGACGTTGGTGTTGCCGTCAACTCTGCTGGCACCAACGCGCCGCAGTCCGCACAGCTTAAGGGGTATAGATCTGCGCAATGGACGGGCGCTTCGTTTGCGCTTATGGGTGAGCAATGCGAATTCAGCATGTGTTGAGTGTGTCTTCAATGTTGACGTCTTGTCCTTGTGAATAGCGGCACTGCTGGCAGCGCTTTTCCTCCGTGGTGTTGGGATTGTCGGAGACAAGAAAACTATCAAGCATGATGACCAAAGCCCTAAGGCCTGAGCACACGCACCCCCTTCTCAATCGTACTCCATTCCCGAATCGAACCCTAATTCAACATCAGAGGGAATCGTCTTCTGTCACTAATTCTTCATACCACCTTACACTCATTACCACTGGCATTACAACTCTCTAGCAATTTTCTGTCGTTTCGTTGCTTACCTGTAGGGCGTGACCCCCTGCTTTTCTTGATTTTGTGCGGTATGTATACCTACAACTTGAAGTACCAGATTGATGATAAACTCATACATCCTAACTTGCAGCGGTTGCATGGCAATTCTTTTGTTCCCTCCCCGTACTCCATGACAAGACATCGACCTACAAGTGTTTTCGTAGTATTGCACGTAGAATGGAATTCAGTATGGTTTGGTGTTCTTACGTGGTGAGCCGCGAGCACGAGACTCGTGTCGTGCCTTCTCCCCTTGATTCCCACGGCATGCGGATACGTTGTGTCAGTTAAACGAGCCATGCACCACTTGAGTTCGTTAGATCGCCGTGGTAGATGGAATGGACAAGTTCTGTGCGTGCATTCCCTTGATGACTGTTACTGGTACGTTTATTTGGGATACAAGGTACACCTGATGGCTTTGGAATGTCGATTGTCATGAACCGAGTCTGGACTCTGGACGGCAATCAGGAATGATAGCCTGGCAATGATGCACACAGCTGAGGCTTCCGACGGTGGCATGACGTCGACTGTCATATTTTCTGACTTGAATGCGTGGCGCATTGTTCTACCCAGTGGATTGAGTCAGAATAATATTTCCTGACATGTGGGCCTCTTTAGGCTTCAAAGCTTCAGTACAATCACAGCGCAGCGTGCTTGTCACACGTAATATGTCGCACCAGGGACATGCTCAAGCATTACTGCCCCTGGTGGACCATGGATATCATTTACCGATTCCCGAGGTGACTCAGGTTCGCTGGGACCAATGATTATATTAACTTCGATCGGAGCAGGGATGCCCCAGAAGTTCACGCCCCTGGTCAAGAGTACGGTCGCCCGATCCCGATGAACAATAGACTTCAGGACGGTATTGCAAAGTGAAAGGTACCTCGACCAAAATCAGTCATCACCCAACGGGGCGCAATGAATACTACGGTTGCCTAATTAGGACGACCTTATTGTCAAGCCCCCCCCTACCCATCGGAATGCTCACACGATATAGTATCCGATATGCAGTTCGCTATTGCTAGCTGGCTTGCTTATTGTCTACGTCAACATTAATGCGGGCTCCAAGCGCGGCGGACGTGTGGCACGTTTCAGTCGGACACGGTGATATTTTGGTGACAATTAGATTTGGGTCGGAACATACGGGATTTTGAAGTGTTCTCTCGATGGTCAAGTCGCAGTACAAAAGTATAAAAGTGCTCTGAAACTGCATACGACTTCCATCAACTCAACTCAGCCTACTTTTGATTCTCGTCCATTAGCAGTTCATCCAACTGCCATCTCCCAGACAACAGCTTTCTACACTCGTAAAAGCCACACCCTCGTCTTTTCCATCCGCAATGGACTCATTCTCAAACATCTTCGCTGTGTTGTCCGCTTCAAAGGCCGACGATGAGAGAAGCCCTGCATCGTCGACGCCAGTTGAGGAAGAGTCGCAGTCAGGCTCGGGAGGTTGTTACTGCGTCATTGCATGAGCGCGAGCAAACATTATGTACGCTGTCTTGTTCATAAACGCATGTAAGTTGCGATGGTCATTTAATTCGCGGGAAGATGGCTTACCGTCGTTTTTTTGGTCGCAGCTCCAGAACGCCACGACTGCTCCATGATACCTGGAACGTCCTACATCCTCTGTAGTGTTTAATCTACAGCAGGATTTAAATTTCATGAGCGATACCACCACTTCACTTCATTCCACCCCACTTTACTTGTTACAACACACTTCGTTCAACATGTTTCGACCCTTCGTTCACCATTTTTGTTGTATTATTTCATCGGATTCTTCGGAGTTAGGTTAGGTATCTTGGGTACAGGTACCTTACAGGAGATATATTTTGAGACTGCCGGATATTCTGGGACGCACATATAATTAGCTATATCTGTAGCACCTGGAGAGAATGAACGAACGATATTTACCTGTTATACACGCTGCTAAGCTGAGACCCTGTTTAAACTTTGCGTGTGTGTCAGGTTGTCATGATCGCTCGAGGGAAATAAAAAGACACAAACAGCTATTTACACGCATTCTATCGATATCCATGCCATGTTGGTTAATGTCTCCATATTCATTGCTCATGCTGAAATTGAGTGCGACGTACTGGATTTGAAGTGTTCAAGGACGTCGTGCAGGTGAATGTCATGAACGTGAATAATGTTGCAGTCCGCAGACAAAGTTTGTCATCAAGCCGTCACGGTGATGTAATTCCGTGCGAAGTGACAAGAACGAAGATGTCGTCTATGCGTGCGGCAGATGTCTTTTTTTGGGGGTATGTAGTAATGGTCAAAATGAGACGGGGCCACTCCCGATGTTTGGAAAAACTGGGTAGTGTTGGTTTCATTGCTCAAAGTGCAAGATACCATGTCTAGAGGAACTTGACAATATTATTAATGGGCTCGACTGTTGGTGAGGACGCAAAACAGGCGAGCTAGACGGACTCGGAAGCTCATGCTGGCAGAGATCCAAAGGTGTTTCAGGCCACTTGAGAGATACGGGAAAGCGGGTAAAGAGGTCCAGTGATGTGTCCTCAGTCTCATCTGATTGGTTTCGCTAGGTGAAACACAGAGTAGAGTTCTGGGGGGTCAAGCCCCTCATTAATGCTCCAAACCGATAGGCTAAGGGAGAAATGCGAAATGTGGCTGCTGATTCGAAAACAACAGCGGTCAGAATTGAAACGTCGAAGCTTAAATTTAAGTTCAAGAGTGATGATTGGTACCAACCTACCATGGGTCTCCGTTCAGCACGAAACAGACTACTAGTACTAATATGTCGTTTAGTAACTGCCAAACTGGCAACTGCTAGCTGATCAACGTTCAATGTCCAACAACCAACTTGAAGCCATAAATCTACCGACCCCGGTGTAAAATTACGGTGCACAAGGAGGCAGCGCAAAAGATGCATATGCATAAGATTAGATACCAACGAAGCTCCTAGAATTTCGTTCAAGACCCCAAAGACCTATCGTGTTTTTGCAAAGGCTTTGGATTCTCGATCATACGATGCAGCTCATCGTCCAAGCCCCGAATGGAGGATAGTGCATCATCAAAGTCAGCCTGAGCGATTAGATAGACAGTCACAAGGAATTCTTGTCCGCTCTGCAATGATTCCAAAGCCTTATGTACATCTCGAGCGAGATCCGCTAGCCCACCGTTCAAAAAATTGTTATCCCGGCTTCGCAGATACTGTCTAGTCACTGTCACGACGTCTGGTACTACCATGATAGGACCAGGCCAGATGAATTTCATTTCCTCGCCCCATATTGTCCTGACGAGTGTCCACAACCTCTCCTGGGCAGGGCTGAGAGAGAGAACCTTGTCTGACGGATCGATACACGCGAAGATCCCAGCAAGGTAGAATTCGTGAATCCAATTCTTGAGTTCCAGAGCCTTCTCGACTAGAGAAGCGCACCGCTCGAGATGACCATCACGGGCTAGACGTTTACGCCACTCATCATTCGTTGCCAGGGCAAAGATGAGGTGGGTGTAGCAGCAGTCTCGACTGTAGTGGAAAGAGGCGTCGGAAAGACTGTTATGGACTGTCTGGTCATGATTGGGATGTACGGCAGTTAAAATAGCGCAAGAAAGCTTGTCCAGGAGTGTTGCATCCACACCCGGTGGCATCGACTCATGCGTGATGGAAGCTAGTTCTTCTCGAGCATCAGAAACAGCTCTCAGCGCAGCATGCCGGACTCGCGGAGGTCTGGTGGAGCCCATACAGCGGATAAGCGCCGTGATGTAGGGGCCTCGTTTCGTAGAGCTTCCTAGTCCACGCATGGCACTCAGCGCGAGCAGAGCATCACCTTCTGTCTCATCATCTCCTTTGTTGCCTGCTTCGTCCGCTAGGTAGTCGATAAGCCAGTCAAATTCTTCATATTTGGGCGCTAGCCCGTTACTGTGACACCACCGCAGATCACCATTCCAAATCAAGCGTTCATCGTCCGGAAGTGAAGACCAACGGCAATACCCATGGACAACCATTGTTCTTAGAGCGGTGCGTGCGTCAGCCCTATGCTTTTGTTCATCGACCTCTTTCTGTGTATTCATCAGCTGTTTGCAGGCGTTATGGCTGTCCACGAACGCATCGCGAATGAAACGGCTCTTGCCTCCCCAACAATCCCGGGTATAAACGTCTCTCCAGCGAAGGCGTAGACGGATTTTCAGCGACTGGCTGCAAAGATGGGCCATGGCCTTGCCACACTTCACAAATACCTCCTCCCTGTCACGACACGCCTCGAAGTTATCACGTAAGCGTGCATAGATTGCAGAAGCATCAAGGTCCCGCGGCCATTGCACGAGAGGTACCATCGCAGCTGCAGCCTCGACAACTTCTGGGTGCGTGGACGTCTCTAGTATCCAACGGATGGCAGACAATTTAATGGATGTGCCATCAGGAGTCAAAGTTCTGCCCAATCTGCCCAACCTGTACGGGAGGAAATGGACGCAGATTGCTAGGATTTTTTTGCAGATAGCCCCCAATAGCTCTGCTCCTGGTGTCTGGAAAGGACTGTCCGGACGCAACATCGACACAAAGATAGTGCCTGCATAAATGAGGATGCCAAGTGCTGTGGTGGAGATGATGACGCTGGATATCGTCGTTTGCTGCATCCACATGTTGGCGCTGAGTGACAAACCGAAGAGGAGCAGGGAGATCTGGAGGAGGATAAGGAACACCTGCAAGACCGTCTGGAGGTGAAAATATTCCAGCCCATCCAGTTTCCTCTGTCTCTGCATGCAGCGTGCCTCTAGAGACCCTCTTCCGCGAGCTGCCTTGTACGAATTGAGCCATTGCTTTCCCATCACAGCCCCAAACGCGGCCAAAACGCTAAATGAGAGACTGGCATAGGCGAGTGTTTGCGTCCAGATAGTCGAAGGAGGATACCCCGTGGACGAGGAAAGATTGCTGATATCATTTACAGCGCTTGTGCCGTTAGCTGTCATTTGGATCAGGTGGAGCAGGAGCATGTTGGTGGTCTCTCCCGGGTTAGGCTGCATTCCGATTATGAAAGTAGAGTTGACGGCTGAGAATAAGCCAGCCTGGTTCGCCTGTTAGATGTGCATAGACAAGGCATATAAATGAGCGCACAAAAGTCAAGATGATGCCCATATCGCCATTCGCACGCTCAAGGAAGTCAGCGTCATATTCCGTCGAAACCTTGTCGTACGTCGCCCAAAACTTTGAATCAACGTCTTTATCATGTTCTTGAGTGATGGGAAGCGCTTGACGGTCGTTGAGGATCTGTTCATCGGCTCTTGACCTTTGACCCCGCGGAGTCAGACCTCGGATATCCCGTACCAATTAATTGACACTTACACATCCTTAGCAGGGCCTACCTCAACGGCCACAGGAGGTTCCTCGCTTGCTGTACGCTGTTTGATCCTATCCCTGTTAGTAAGTCCGTAAGTGTCGCACTCATCCCAGTCTAGCTTGGCACTCGCTCGCTCGTTGGGAGGCCGGTGTCGACAGGTGCAGAACAGTGTCGTGGTGAAGGGCTTTCCATGTTATGGACTGTGGTGGATATAAAAGTTGAAGCAGGACGGGAGAGATGGTAGAACTTGAAGTGTATGATTGCTGTGCCGGCGTCAAAGCGTACTCATTGAATATTGCGGAATCATGCGAGAATCACATATGCTTCTTGTCCGTTGCCAAAGCCTCCAAATTGCTCCAATGCAAGAAGCAGTCCTCGAAGGGGTGCGCATAACTTCTCGTCGTCGAAAAAATCGTTCACAGCACTAGCCTGTGAAGAAATGAGCTGGAATTCTACTCGAGCTTGAGGCCTGTGAGTGTTCGAATCGCCGTGACGCACTGTCTGAGTCGAGGGAGCATCTGAAGTGATCTTGCAAAATTGGTTTGCAAAATTTAAATGGGCCCTTGAGATTTTGCCATCGTGCCGCACGGGCCCTATACGTAACAGTGTCCGATCATATAATGCCTACATCTATGGTGGATGTTTGGTTACAGTTCGACTTCCCGAGATGCCGGACAGATTTTCAACGTCCGATTGCTGTTTGGTTTCAGTAATATTGTCTCTTCGTGTATATCCCTAGTTATATTCTACTAGAGTGATTTTGTCCAGAATGGCAATCTAAATTCCTCAGCGGGCCCGAGGGGGTTGTAAGTTGTGAATCCGTGGTTCATTGTAGCAATATATCTTCTCATTGAACCACTGACGCAGGCTGGCGCTTCAAGGCTTGCTCTAATGCCCAACCCGCAAGGCAAAAACGGGAGAGGTGTTGTTAGTCGTAAGTGCATTTGAAACTGGGTTCAGTTAACTCAATCACACTGGCGCTAATTACTTTGCAGCTCCAGATGCAATCATAAGACCGCTTGTAGAGCAGTATGTTGCCAATGGTTACAGCAATCAAGAGATCATCTCTCGTCTTCGGGCACACCAGGAGACTAGCAAGTTCAATATATCGTGAGTCATAGCTACCTAAACATACCTTCAAACAGAGCTTCTGATGTTTGAATTATCAGACTGAGCCTCTTGAAAAAGCGACGTTCACAGTGGGGAGTTACTGTCTGCCCGTGGTCAAGCACACACAATTGAAAGCATTGGACCTGCCATCGAGCGTGTTCGTCAACGGTTCCCCAAACAGGGCTCGCACGACATGAAGCAAACCCTTAGGCAAGAGGAACATATCATGGTTCCAAGGTTGTATATGATGTTCTGTCGCTACACATTTACACTGATTGAATTGTTTTCAGAGACTTAATACTGCGGTACATGAACCTTCACCATCCAGATGAAGTTCAGCGCCGGAAGAGTCGCCGGCTCAAACGCAGCACTTTTTGGACTGCAGGTCTTCACGACATTTGGGTTTTTGACCAACACGACAAGTGGCGTCGTTTTCAGCTCTTCCTACATGTTGGTATCGAGCCGTTCTCAGGGTGAATACTCTGGCTCAAGATCTGGTGGACCAATCACAATCCACGCTTGATCTGTGGCTGGTATTGTGACACGGTCCAAAGCCTTGGAGGTAATTATTTGCATCCAGTCTCAATTGTCAGCCTACTAATGCAATCATTCAAGCTATGCCTCTCGTTACCCAAAGCGATCCGGGCACAGAGAACAACGGGATTGCGAACGGTCACACCATGCTTCGTCATCTTCAAGATCCAGGTCTAGCACGCACCCTGCAGCACAAGTTCAGAGGCGACCATCGCAATATAAAGCCAGAAATTTTCTGGAGCCAATTGCGCCTGTCGCTGGACTCCGGGTTTCGAAGATATTCTCGATTTCGGTTTGAGTGCAGGCATCTATAACCCGGATGATGCACTCGAAAGGTTCTTCTTTTATGTCTTTGATACTTCTTGCACTAACACTGTGTGGAACATAGACTTGTATTTCACTTTGTTTTCATTCCGTGGCTCCAGCATGAGCTCGATCTTTTTGCCGATAAGTTCAACAACACTAAACCCCGCTTCAACATGCACAAAATCCTACCACATGGTCGCCCCAATGATATCTTCGATTGCCCTGAGAAATTTGATTGTCGGGACTTCTCTGTAAGCTGTCAGACACATTCTTGTCCATATATTAATGTTTTGCAGGTGATCGTCGATAATTCCTCACTTGAGGAGGTCCGGAAAACATACGCTCCTTCCGATCACCCCGTTTTTCTCTTGGTACCCCAGGAATTCTCCCAGCAGGCTACGGCATTCATGTCTGAGCTCGGTCATACTGTACTGACTCGTGACAATATCTGGGACGTGTATTCAGGTCTTCTTATGTGCTTTCGAGCCATTGAAGGCGAGGATCCCATTCGAAGTGTCATCACCGCACAGCCAAAGATCCCATGCGACGGTGAAAAACTAATTGGGTCTGAGGAGATGGATGTTCTGGATTTACCGCCATTTGTTGAAGGGGCTGGATATCGTGTACCCACTGGTGAATCTGCGGCAGTCAACTCATCAGATGAAGAGTCTGACTTCTACGAGTTTACCTGGACAGATGAGGAGGCAATTTAGATTCAGCAAGTCGAGTAGTACTGTAGTCTATCTTAGTCCGCATCTGTTGGTGCCATTGATATTGTAGTACAATTGATTTCCTGTTTGAGGCTGGTATCACTGGTGTCAGTATCGCATACCACCTTATTGAACTCTTCTTGCTTTTCCTCGAACAACTGCTCAGGATCGTGATGCTCAAAGCAAGAAAATTCTGTTAGTTGGTCTCATGCTGATCATGGTGTCTTCTGACGTGTTCGAGTCAGGCTCAGTCGGTCGGTCCAGTGCATCGAAGGGCTAGCTATCATGCTACAGGATCTGGGAAGACAGACACCTTTATTTGATCACTTGAGAATCACACTTCAAAAGAACAACCGTGACTGCAAATCACTTGGACTATTATATGTCTAACATGGTTCAAAAGCCTCCAGCATCCCTTGCTCGTCCTCTGAATCCACCATGGCAGACTTTACCCCCATGAATCCAAACAGCTGGAGACTTTGTCAGCGTTGCAACACACAGCTTCGAATCAACTGTACCATTTACATACGTGCGTGGTAAAGACGGCTCAGGCCGTACATGTTGCCCGACCTGCACAAAGCATTACGAGGGACGTAAAGCTATAGAACAGACTCGAGGCCAGCAAGCTACAAGCATTGGTGAGTCCAACTTTGATGAGTCCGAGTCGTCCAAAACTAATCAAATTCATTATCATTCATGTCACAGACTTCACAGCTGCTGAGGGGCCCTCGAGACCTGAGCTGGTAAAAGCAATGTCAGCAGCGCAACGTGGAGGTTTGTCATGCTCTGAGGGCTTCCGGTTTGTGTACGAAGCTTAATAGTACTATCTTATAGACAACATCTTTCCCAGTCAGCGCTTTGGCCATCCAGCCCACACGCTGGCAGGTGACCGCGGAAAAATGCTTCCTCCTCCAGTTCCTGCACACACAAGCATGGGATATACGCCCAATCATGCCGTGCACCAGCTGCATCGCAGCAAGATGGCTCAGGCAGCATCGTCAGGCCGCTTCCATCAAGTCATGATTCGAGTTGCCTTACATCACCTGAAACCAGAGGGAAAGTCGGGCACAGTGTTAGTTGGTGTAGGTTATATTAATTCTAACTCGCACTGCTCTCAACTTGCGAAATTTACAGAATATCGAACGTGATGTGCGTGTTGCGCTCAACATTACCCTAGCTCAGCTCCAGTCCGAGGTAATCAACCAGCTCGAACCATTATGGGCAGAGTGGTCGCGCAGCCACTCTCTCTCCCTCTATAGCCTGGAAATGCACAAATCACCAAAGTTGATTCTTTACGACCCGAGACAACCATCCATTGGTGCTAATGAACCAGTCCTACAAGAATTCTTCGTGCATGCAACACCCAAGGACCCCACACCCAAATTTTTTGCAAACGCCCGTGTCGCCATCCTTCTTGTAATGACAAATGCGCAGTTCGAGGATGTGTTGCTCTGGCAAGAGCAATGTGTCAATGTAGGTCTTTTTTCATGTTTTCAGTGATACTTTTCACACTTAGCTCAATCTCACAGAACATTGCACCAAGTGTCGACGCTGATGTGCAAAATGTACTAACATCAGCCTCTAGTATCCCTGCAAAGAAAAGGGTACTGCAAAGTCAAGGTAGCAGCAACGATTCTAGCCCATCGCCACCACGCCGCCCTGCACGCAAGCGCTCCAGGAAGGTGAGTTGAGGTGCTCGTATATTGGCAGGTCTAACCATATTTGATACCACAGTTTCCGATATCTGAAATTAGCGAGGTCCTGGCAGGTGACGATGTCTCAAAGGATGAAGACCAATCCAATGTCTGTGGCGGCCCTTCAAAGCTGGAACAGTCGCAACCTGTCTTAGCAGCAAGCGCTCTCATATCAAAAAAACTCTTCTTACCCAGCCAATCTCAACTACAAGCGGCCATGAAAGCTCAGGGAAATGTTAGAAAACAAGCATCCTCTACTATAGGTACGTGCCTTGAACTTTTAGAATCGCTCAACTAGCTCACATTATGTGATGACAGGTGCTGGATGTGTCCCTATCACCTTTCGTCTCTTCGACATCCCTTCCATTGGCTTCGCAGCGCTCGTTTCTACACCATTCAGTACTACTGATAGCAAGTACACTGTCGCCGCACTCACCATCGACACCAGCTCCAAATCTATGATTGGCTTGGCAGGAAGCTTCAAAACGTGTCACCCTGCCTTGATTTCAAATGCAGACGTTGTCCCATCCATGTCTACATCACTGCCACCATCTGTTCTGTCAGCCGAGCAGGTTGTAGCTAAACGCGTGTTTTTTCGGAAGGGCCAAACCATGGGGCGTTGCCGCTTTGCAAGGGAGGATGAGCTGGAAAAGACACTCGACGAGGTGAATTGCCTTTACTGGGGCACATCATTGCTCGGTATGGCGTACACCTTCGTTGACGAGATGCTCAAGACTGGCAATGTGAGCCAAGATGTCGTGGTTGAGTTACCACGTCTAAGGCTGGTTCGTGCGGCACTAGCCATTCCCGATGACCCCAACAACGACCTCGGCGCAAACTATCTCATCGAGGAGCGGATTAGCGGAAAATTCGTCAAGTACATCAACAACAACTCTGCCGTCCCCGCCCATAGTCTAGAGGGCAGAGAAGCAGTCATCGGACTGTTTTTATGCTTTGTTCAACACGTGCAATATCACCTTACTAACAACATGGTATATCTATCTGATTTCCAAGGCGAGTCCTCAACCCCTCACCTGACTGTCACCCACAGCTAACTGACTGCGCTTGGCATAGGTTCTGGTAACCTCCTTACAGATTGCCAAGTGCTAACAGGCTCGTGAGTTTGTACCTACTACTAAGCCTTGGACTGTCATACTAACACGAGCCTTCTCTAGAGCTTTCATGAACAATTTCGGTGGAGGAAACTGCACATCTGCTTTTAACAGTTTCAAGACCACACATATATGTAATAAGTTCTGTCGTGTTTTGGCTTGCAACCTTATGTTATGTAGCATTTTAGCACTCGGCGCACTACCATTCTTGCTGTATAAAATTACCTGATCATAGTGTTCATCTTGCGAGTTACTTTGGCTTGTAGATCGCCTCATTGACGTGAACATCAGTACTACAGAATCATGTACTCTGTCACTTTCATGGCCAAGCAGAGTGCTACTAAGAGACCGCGATAGAACTAAGAGACTGCGATAGAGATGCATGCGTGAGGCTGTCACTGAAGTGCATTGCAAAAGCAAAAGTAGACAGTGGTATATACTTATATCTAATTCTTCCTGGCCCTCGTGCGCTACGAAATGCGAACGGAGCTGCTCGGTGTTTGCGCTCACGAAGAAGCTGAATTGGGTGAGGATCACGGTCCAGACGTCATCAGGGCGGAGGATGAGCCCACAATGATTGTTGTATGCCTCAAGCACGGTATGCACGAATCCGTTGGGCTTTGGCATGACATCACGCACCACATTGAGCTCGATGGGGAGGGACGTGTGAAGGAGCTCAAGACAACGTGTGAATTGCTCAGGGGAGATCTTTTCGAGAACGGTAAGGTAAGGGTTTTGGTGAAGAGGGATCTGAAGACGATAGTCTTCTGTAAAAGACTCGGCGGGGTGCGTGGCGGGACAGAATGAAGTCACGCCAGGAGGAAATTGTTGAGTCTGAGAATAGATCTGGTGCTCAGTATGATTCAACATTGGGAATGAGATGAACATACCGTGGAGAGCGGGGACAGAAACTCAAAGATGCCGCAGAACTAGCTGTAGAGGATATTGGGGAGAACTCATGAGGAGACATGGCGTGTGTGGGGATGTGGTTGAGATGACTCTCTGATGCCGTTTCTGAAGCCTTGAATGGTTGATCAGTGACTTGTACTAGAAGTATCTGCAAGCGCTGATGGGACGTGTGATCCCTTTAAGTTATGAGCCGATTTATCTAACACGTGTCATGAATGACGCACCTTACATCCACGGGCTCCTCAGGGAGAATAAATTCTTGCATGTCGCCATCATTGACTACGACATAATCGTGCATGCTAGTAGCATCATCCAAGCTCGTCAGACTGAACAGAAATGCCGGTAGCATTGAGTGGGATATGGAGTGACAGCCATCGTCCCATATAAGGAGATCCGTAATGGAACGGGTCACGTGAACGTCTGGAAACCTTGTCAAGCAATTGCAAGGTAACTAGGGATATACAATATACATCAAATAAATAAAACGAAGAAACAATATTCCTCAAACCAAAACAGCGAT